ATTGCTTTTGGCGAAAACAATCGGTAGCGCTCCCGACTGTTTTAAGACCATACATATTTTCAAAAATTGCTTGTGGCGAAAACAATCGGTAGCGCTCCCGACTGTTTTAAGACCATACATAATTTCAAAAATTGCTTTTGGCGAAAACATTCGGTAGCGCTCCCGACTGTTTTAAGACCATGCATCGTTTTAAAAATATTGCTTTTGGCGAAAACATTCGGTAGCGCTCCCGACTGTTTTAAGATCATAATTACAAATTTTGCTTTTGGCGAAAACATTCGGTAGCGCTCCCGACTGTTTTAAGATCATAATTACAAATTTTGCTTTTGGCGAAAACATTCGGTAGCGCTCCCGACTGTTTTCAAATAATGCAAAAAAAGAAAAATAACATTAAACTCTTAGCACGTGCTGTTAAGCAAATCGCCTTGGCCAGGGGGGGGCAAGTGCCCCCCCCTCTGGCCAACATCGGTAGCGCTCCCGATGTTGGCTAGCCCCCCTCCTGCATAGTACGGACCGGGACTTTTGAGCTAATAAGCCCCCAATGTGAAAAATTGGAAGTGCTGTTAAGACATGTAGGGGGCGGCTAGCCAACATCGGTAGCGCTCCCGATGTTGGCCAGAGGGGGGGGCATTTGCCCCCCCCCCTGGCCAAGGTGATTTGCTTAACAGCACGTTCAATGTCTATTTCTTCCTTTTTTATTTGTTTTTAAACTTTTGAAAATATGTCATTTCAAAATTATTCAAACAATTAAAAGTTGAAGTTGTGCGCCATCTTTTTTTTCCGCAAAAGACTGTCAAACAAATAAGTCGCCAGTGTTTCTGAGTGCATGAGATCAAAGGCAACTCCAAAACAATAGTGTATTATTAGTATTATTATTGCCGAATGTTTCCTGAGTTCTTTACTATCATTTACTCGGGCTACATCTTAAACTGTGTGGAAACAGTTCCAGGTTTTGGTTTGTTTTTTAGAAGGAATCCAACTCATGAGCTCCAAGAACATAGCAAATTCTGAGTCTGATAGTTCAAGACCTTTTCATCTTGTTATGATTATCATGTTTTCTTCAACCGTCAAAACTCTTGCAACAATGCTTGGTAGATTTGTTTCCACCAAAGTCAAACACCAACCTTTCTTGAAACATAAACTGAAAACCATCTTAATCATAAGGGAGAACTGTCAATGGTCACTGAGTGTACGAATAATTTGCCAAGGTATATTGGTGAGATTTGGATGTGCCTGTCATTGGCGTCTTCCATAACACTAAGCAAATTGATGTCCCACTGTATTTGTTCAAAAAGGGGTCCCAGCCAATAACAATAACAACACATTTGGTTTTTGGATGTTGATATTCTTTTCAGTGTTCCCCATTGATGGTTGACATACTTTGGTTAGAGGTGGGTCCCATGCTGGGAAAGATGTACCATATCCATCATTTATGCTAACCCGCTCTGGCTCAGCAATTCTCCGGCCATTTTGGCCAGTCATTGTGTTTATGCCATCATTTATCTTATTAAATCTATTACATGATTAGGACAACAAAAATCAAACTTGGGGGATGGGATGATCCCGTCATTGAACCACATTTTATCAAATTGGGTCAAAACAATGGGAATTAACAATGCATTTTGGAACCGAACTAGTTTGATTGTGTTATTATGAGAAAGGTTTCCTAACTGTGGACTAAGGAACTGGGTGTTTTGTACACTTGGTTTACATTCGACATGAAGAGCGACATATGATAATTGGAGAAATTACAAATGACTATTTGATCCTCTTAACAGCAGGTAAGTATATATATATATGATTATATGTATATATACAAATATGACAAATATGTATAATATATATATACATATTGGTATATTTGATGGGATATAGCCAGCAAGATCATATGGATATGTATTTGCTTTATCTCTAACATGGTTTCTGAACCACCAACAAGGCCATGGAGCCGGGAAGTTCTTCACATCAAAGATGTTCCCCGTGCCGTGGGTCCCCCATCTTAAGACACCATCAGGTATGTCAATGGATTGGTTTAAGGGAAAAATTACAGGAACCCCCCATATTTCATGGGAAAATCTATGGTTTCCTGTAGATTTTCCCTTAAGCCAATCCATTGAGTATGGTGTTTTTTTGAATTTACCACATTGCACCTATGCTGAACGTGGACATCGTGGACATCGTGGACCCAGACATCGTATATGTTGTTTTGGTAATTGGTCGATTCATAGATGGATGCCACAACCAATAGGTCAATAGGTAGAGACGGTAGATGCAAAATGAGCAGTGACCAAAACCACTGTTGATTGGTTATCTGATTGGTGGTTTGGAACATGAATTTTATTTTTCCATATATTTGTGAAATGCCTTCAGCCTACTTCTCAAGAATTTTAAACAAATAAAAAAAACGAAAACCAATCCAAAAAAAACAAAACCCAATCCAAACCTCAATTAGGAAAAAACAAAAAAAATGCAAAAAAAAACAAACTCCAATCCAAACCTCAATTAGAAAAAAACAAAACCAAAAAAAAACAAAACCAAAAGCAAAAAAACAAACTATTTGTTTTACTTTTTTTTTCTCGTTTTTTTTTTGTTTTTTTTTGCATTGTTTTTGTTTTTTTTTCCGCCTTTGTTTTCGCATTTTTTTTCGTATTTTTTCTTTCTCAGGTGACCTGATGACCGGGACCTTCGAAAATGTAAGAAACTCGAGGAAAAAAACGAAAAAAAACGAAAACAAAGCGAAAAAAAAAACGGAAAAAAAAACGAAAAAAAAAAAGGAAAAAAACGAAAAAAAAACGAAAACAAAGCGAAAAAAAAACGAAAAAAAAAAACGAAAAACAGTGAACACAAATAGTTTGTTTTTTTTGCCCTTTTGTTGTTTTTTTTTGCTTTTGGTTTTGTTTTTTTTTGTTTTTGTTTTTTTGTTTTTTTCTAATTGAGGTTTGGATTGGAGTTTTTTTTTGCATTTTTTTTGTTTTTTTCTAATTGAGGTTTGGATTGGGTTTTGTTTTTTTTGGATTGGTTTTCGTTTTTTTAGTTCAATTTATTTTTCTATCGTTTTATAGAAGTTGCCTGTAAGCCGTGTCACAACCATATATTGAGAGTGTCATCATCTCAACTGACGGACTCCTATTTTTCAGAGGGTTTCAAAACCACCAACCAGTTATTATATGTTTTTATAAGGGCTGTACTATCCGGTTTATTGGGGAAAAACGGCACCCAGATTGGGAATCGTCAACCAGGCAGTACAAAGGAATGAGGCTTTTGAACACTGCTCTAAATAGTCTGCCCTCCAGTAGACTACCATAGCTATGGAAAATGGCCCATTTATAGATGATCTACCAATATTTGCCTATCAACCATGGTGATTTTAAATAGCTATGTTAGTCAATACCAGGGTCACATACCTCCCTGGGAAGGCTGGAGTTGTTCTCGAAGCTCTCGCCCAGGTCTCTCTGGTCCGACGTTGTCGCGATGGAAGGTGCTACCTTTGGCAGTCCATTGATAATTAGCCTCTGGTAACTATGGGAAAACTATGGCTAAATCCATTATATAATAATGGTGATTTTCCATTGATAGTCCATGTTCATGTTAGATACCCTTTGGTAAACTAACATAACTATGGAAAGATCCACCATGCTATCAATGGGTAAATCCATGATTTCAATGGCCATTTTCAATAGCAAACTGTTAAATTACCAGAGGGTAGCTATGGTCCTTAATTATCCCTGGTCCGATATCATATCATATCCCACATTTGTTTCCATATACCCTGAATGTTGTTTTTTCTCGCATATAGCCTATGGAAAATGGTCCGTTTAGAATTTTCACAGGCGATTGAAGTGTCCAAAATGGTGATATTGTTTATATAGTTATGCGAACTTACCAGCAAATTCAGGACATAGTTGGACAGAGTCACTTAATCAGATTATAGTTGGGATAAGCCACAAATTATGGGAACTTACGATTACGATCACCAGGGTTGTTGAACATCAAGCTTTAGGACCGATGATTTTGGTTATCGTTGGCATGACTGGGGGTTGCTATGGGCTGATTTTTTTTTTGTCAAATACATTGCCACCAAGCCCTGATGATTGAACTTTGGTTTGGATAGGAGAGTAGCTGGGCTATATTCCATCAATATCCGATGCTATATAGTATGGTATGGATGGCTAGTAGCCAATGGATATCAATGGATATTCTATAATATTCTAATATTCTATATACCCTCCGGCAATCAAATGTGGCCATGGACAAAAAAAGCTCTAGATGGAGGTTGAAAAAAATGGGGGGTTCCATAAATGGAATTACCCTTAAATGGATGGTTTATAATGGAAAATCCTACCAATATGGGTGATTTGGGGGTACCCCCATCTTAGGAAACCTCCATTTGGAACATAATCTGTCAATGGAGGATTGCCCTTTCCGGCGTCCCAAAGACCTTCACGTTCGGTGACTGATCGCCAGAATTTTACGCTTACCCTATGGCAATTTATCAATGGCTACCTACCAAGTATTCATACGAAAATGACATTTATCAGATAAAATGCATTAATTAATCATGATAAGACCATAAGAAAGTATCGGATAAGCATTTTTAATGCAAAATGACAAACAAATGACAACAACATGATACAGAAATGACACCAAAGTGACAATAAAACGACAACAACATGACAAAGAAATGACAGCAAAATGACAATAAAATGACAACACAAATCCAAAATGACAAACCTGAATGACAAAAAACAATGCCACCAGAATGAGAACCATATGTCAAAATTGTGATTTTATTTTTTCCAGTGATTGCAGGCCGAAGATTTTCCTAAATATGACATTATATACATATATCCCAAAGGCTCAGGGTAGAGATGGGTACCTCAAAAGTAACATGGGCCCTAAGGGAAAAGATCACCAGGGACTTCCAGGGACCGATGCCCTCAAAAGGTGATAAATCCATGAACTTTTGGGGATCCCATGGCTGGTTTGTGAACTGCAGCCCATCTTTTCTTCAACTTCGCCGCAAACATCTGCGGACCAAATGCCCGGGCTCCCAGCACAAGAGGTGGTTCTTGGTGTCATCATAGTTTAGAGAGCTCTAGGTAGACCAAAGACAAGTAACGTTCAAGCGTGCGCAAACTCACACTGGTCTTGTGGCAAGCTCTTGCAATTCTTCCCACCCGTCCTACCCAATCTTCCGCAGAAAGAAGTTGAGATATCCTTGGGTTAAGTCGCTCAACCCTGACAGTCTTGGCACGGTGCTTGAAGTGGTGATGCTTGCACAACATCAGCCAGCAAGTGCGGTTTGGTTCCCGTCCAACTGCTGTCCTGCTCCTGCTATGTAAGGCAGCATATGATAGCAGATGTTGCATAACACTGCTGTAGTAAGACTCTCCTTCTTGTTCACTCAGAATCAAGCCAGTTGTATCCATAATCTTTAATGATCTCGCGTAGGAATGAAGACAAGTAGCTACCAAACGATCCAAATCTGTAGCTTCTGGCCGGCCAGCATGTTCAACACAACAATTGGCAATCCAAAAAGTCACAACCTTGCTGGGAATCCCCTTTGAACTCAGAACTGGGTAGTTCATCCGGGTCTTTCGCCCCAATCGAGCTGGTGTGAACCTAGGCTGCGACGCTTGCAAACCGTTTTGTTTTTTCCATGCCAAAAAGTGCACATGTGCTTCGCGTAGCAACACTGACAAATTGTCGCTGTAAAGGCCCTGTTGAGGAAAAGGACCCCAGAATCCAGTCTCAGCTAGATAAACAATGGCGCTGCCATTTGCTGTTTTTCCAGTTCCCAAAAGTTGGGAGTGCAGGCAATCATGTAGCACTCGCTCTATAGGGATGCCAAGCGTGAACAGCACAGAACCTGGTTCAGCATGTGTTAACATATAGGCAAACCGTCACAAAACAGGTGATTGTTCCCGAACAATAACATAATACCCCAAATCGCAGAATATATAGGGATAATGTGGAAATGATTTTGGGGGAAAACACGGCCCAAACTATTGAACATGTTAAAGCCCAGATACCCTTTTCGTAAAATTCCGTCAAGTCTGGAGCAGTTGTAGAATGAGCTGCATTCTCGCGAAAATCAGATATTGTCATAGATGGGTTGGCATTCTTTTTCACAGCACCACACAAGGAGCAACATGTATTCGAACGGTAATTGTGAAGCCCGTATTGCTCAACAATAAATTTCAAGTCCCCCTGAATCGAGGATATCATGAATGCATAGCCATCAGCTGACCAGTCAAACAGCATTTGTGGGTCAACCATGTCTTGGACCCTGGCAACGACGGGTTTCATAATATCTTCGTATGTAAACTCTGTGGCCACATACTCAGGAAACACTGCGATAGGAAAGTATCTGGTCAATGAACTGTTCCCATATGCAAAATCGCTGCACCACCCAAGCACAGTGACAGACCCAGTTTCAGATCCCTTGTAAGCTGCAATGTCATCTCCATAAAAACTCATGGGGATGAGCTTTGAAAGTGCAGGGTAGTTGTGACAGTGGCTACCTTTGAACCAATCACAGGTTTGTTTGCAATGATTCCAGAAATATTCGATGTCCTCCAAGGAATTGTCGCCAAACATAGTGTGACGAAAAATTTTCTCCCCTTTGGCATGCAAAGCCTTCGCCATGTCATCTGGAAAAATCACAGAAATATTTTGCCACTCAATTGATGCTGTAGCGTGGGAATAAAGACGGGCTTGAACAGTCTCAATCTTCACACCAAGCCGTTTTGAAAATGATTTCAATAGAAAGTGGAAATCTCGTTCACAATTCTTTGTGTGTTTGCCGCTTGTCCCAAGCATAGAGATGCGGTTAACCAGGTCATTTTGTTCCACGTGCCCCCCTTTCGTTTTGCACCAATCAACGGCCGAAGAAGCCATTTGCTGAACCTAGGCCAATGCTCAGGATTTGGTTGTTATCTGATCTTATGATTTTTTCAATCATGGAAAGAAAGGTTATATAACCCCTTCACCAAATAGCTAAAAGACTTGGGGCCCCATAGATTTAAGTCGATTTCTCACTATCCAACCAGTTATTGGGGTTTCCAATTTGACCTATAGGCCCTATACCCAAATATTGCCATAACCATTTCCCAACAAACCACCAAGAAACCCTGGTCGCACTGGATTTGCCAGATGCGAAATCATTTACCAACAGTTCTTGAAATTGTGGAGGGGCTTTAGCAGGGACAGCCTTTGCCTTTGCTGCCAACACATGAGCTGGCTCATGTGGAGTCAAACGAGGTCGTTTGGATGGCGGCGGCTCCTGCGCTGATACCCAGCACCAGGCGTGGAACAAGGGTTCTGGGCCTACACACGCACTATTGATTGATAAGCGTAATACAATGATGATTCATAAAAATATTTTTTACCAACATGGGTACATCAAAAAATTACAGGGTCCCCAAATTATGGTCCTGAACATCATGCGCTGATGTTGTTGCACGTCGTCGATAGAATCCTGCGGGCCATGGAACCCGAAGAGATCAAAAAATACTTCGGGCACACTGGGGTCTTCCAATGATAGAGCCACCCAAAATTTGGACCACATTGTAATATTATTATAGTGGAATCACACCCCATATTAATGAAGTACACTTGAATTATGGAATCATGGCATTGCATTCTCATCAACTCATCAGCTAGCTGAGATCTTTCATTTGTACCCCATTGCGCTTCTTCTGCAAGTTCCGATAAGGCTAGCACATATTTGCCAGCATCGGTTGCCACAGCGGCTCTGGTCAAGCCGTGGCACGAAACCCCAAGTGCAGTGATTAGACCTCAAGTTTTTAAAAAAACCTGGTCAACTGACTAGCGAAAAGATTAGAGTCATCTTCATGACGACTTGAAGGAAACATGTCAAGCTCCATCCATCACTTGGCGGCCCTGGAGGCAGCCTTGCTCGCTGCTTTGTCCTGCACATTGGCCCGGGTTCCCATGCTGGTAGATTGCAGGGAAACAGGTGGTAAATTACCCCTACCTCCTAATTGGAAGGCATACCATAACTGCACTTGGGGGCACTGTAAAACTTTGATACCATGATAGGGTTTTCCATAAATGGGGATATTACAAAATGGACGGTGTATGGAAACTATATGATAATTTGGGGTTACCATAATTTTAGGAACCCCCATAAAACAAACTATATTTAACTTTCATTGACCGATATCCACACACCCCCAAACGATATTATATTATAATTGGTGATGACCACAGCTGCGAACCGGCTACTGGTGGCATGATCCTCATAATAGATTCTTGGGCCCTCATGGTACATCAAAAAAGTAAATTATGTGGATCCTGTTTTGTTTATCACTTCGTGGTTGGACAACAATCCAGTAATGGAACCAAAATGTTGGTATTGGCCTCAATTTGTAAATGTTTTGTTCATTGATTTTGCTGGGGGAAATTGAATATAGGTAACACCATCATCATATATGATTTGAACATTATATATGTATGCTGGGGGGGACAGTCCTTTGACCCAGAAGATCGGGACGCCCTTGTCAAAGTATTCGCCTCAGCAGCGTCCTCCTGGTACAGCTGCATCCTTTGCAACGCCAGAGTCGACGCTGCGTTGAGGGCATCGATGTCCTGGTCAGAGATCTCCTGGCGGAATGACGTGTAATGTGGGACATATTGGGGCATGTTGAGATTACCAATTACTTATTTGCCATGGTTGTGGGATGGCCTGGGGTAACCCTGTGTTGAAATTTATGAGGATAGTCCCTAACAGCTTAACTAAGTACACATTTCACCACCTGGTTCTATGGTCACATGTCACCACAGGGTTCTATGGTTCTCCTTGTTCACAGTCATCTTCGTAAGTTGGAGGAACGACCGCTCCAACTCATCTGCATGCCCCTCGAAACTTTTGCCTTGGCATGGAAACATATTATATATTATATATATATATTATATCATTGTGTTATAACATAAGTGCTCCATGTTTGAAAGGACACGGTTTGACAAATAAAGTATTCCCTGGTACCACATGAAAATTATAGTTCAGATGGTTACCCATTTCTGAAATGGGGTGAATGATGAGGCAAGTTGCACAGTGCATCTTGATGCTTCAAATGCGCCAGACGCACAGGCCACATCCTGGCCCCCTGGAGGTCCAAACTTAATTTGGTAAGGATCCAAACTGCACGAGGTCGAGGTTCAACTGGCATCTCATTCCTGGGGTACCCAAGATAAATATACCCCTTCAAAATCATTGGTTTCTAAAAAGAATATATATATATATATATAATATGTTTTGGGGCCACCATTGTAAGAATATCCAACCTATATATGTTAACAATTCCACAAATAATTTGAATATACCACATGTTCCCCCATGATATCTCACCCTGTGTTTGGAGACCCATATGAACACTCCCCATACCCTAAGGATCCATGTATCCAATATTTACCTACATTGACCCCTAAAGTAATTTAAAATAATCCCAATGTAGGTAAATATTCCATACATGGATCCTCTGGGATATGTAATTTTATATAATTAAGGATATCAACGGATCCAAGAATCTTCTTCCGGGCGCCCGCCGATGGGGCATCACCTTCCTTGGCCTTCTTACGTTTGTCCACTCCCTGCCCCCCAGCCGGAGGCACTGTTGGCTTGGCCCCTTCCATGACTGGAGCGGCCGGAGCCCCATTGGACACATGGGGAGTTCCCTCTGTCTTCATGGGCAGGGCATGGAGACGCAAGGGTTCGTTCATGATGTTTTCACCAAACGCATTCAAATCCGAAGTGGATGCGAACCGTTCAGCCTAGTCAGGGACCACAAATGGGAAATGATTCATATCCACATTTTTGGGTAGGCATATGACTATAGTACTTGATCTATAATTAATAAGCAATTGCCGTGGTGGATGGGGCGAATAGGCATACAAAATAGATTATGTGGTTACAAAAAAAAACATGGGGAATGAAGCACCTGCTCACCACGGGCTTCACCGGAGACGGACATCGCTAATCGATCCTCATGCTCATCTTCATCTACCTTTTCCGCATCGATTAACACGTAAAACATGGGGGTCCCAGGGCTGTCAGGGTGTTCTTTGTACTCTTGGCTACGTGTTTTCATGTCGATGATCTGGTTCACGGTCTGCTCGCAGTTGTGCATCTGCATCAGCTGTGCACGAGTCTTCCAGCCTGGGCACAGCAATCCCCGGATACCAAATTAAATAATCACAGCCCCATAGGTTAGTTTTAAGGGGTTCCTGTATAATATTATGGTCGATCATATTGATTGGGTTGAAGCGATGATTTTGTAATTATGGAGGCATCCACAAATCTTGGATTGTCATGTAGTATGGGGTGTGGACTCACAATGGCCGCTTGAGGTTTGGACCATACTTTCTTCGCCCAATGCTTCGCTCAGTCCGGCTCCTGGTGGATTTGATGGACAACCTGAGTGTTGTGGCGGAATCAGATGAGTTGGGAAGGCAACTCTTGAGGTACCCTGCCAATAATAATAACAATAATCAACAAATTTGGTCCTCATTTTTTTCCAACATGAGGTTAAACAAGCCAGCTGAACATGACCCCTGAATGATAGATAAGCTCTTATATTGATGATTCGTGGGGTAATAAGCACTAAGTGGCGGGTTACTGAAGGTTACTGGGTTCCAGTGATTCTATATAGCCGGCCTGCACAACATATCCAAGAAACTTAGTCCAATCTTTTCCAGACTTTAAGAAGGACTGGAAGACAGCGTTTTTTGCTGCACGGCTACGGCTCTGAACTGCAGCCTTCCATGAGCTAAGAATCTCATCGGGGATCTCATACTGCTCAGGGGCATCAAGCTGCCTCGTGCCAAGGCAGATGTGTCAATTTTCTGAGGGACAAAATTACTAACCCAATACCAATCATGTTTTTTGGGTAAATATGTGTATATTCATACGTATGCCGTATGGTGTAATTTGGAGTTTTATATATGTACGGTTTGAAATAGTCAATATGTATGTTCGTGATCCCCATTACCCACTTGCCATATGTGATGATTTGACATTTGGGAACACCACTGCAGGCCTCTTCATTTGGGCATAATGGGCTTGTCGTTCCTTGTAGCTCCCAACGACCACCTCTGCTTCAGCCTCAAAGCAATTGAGGGCAATTAGGGCTAGGGGCTAGGGCATGTCATTTTAGAAACCAACTATAGTACAATTGGTGTTCAAGATTGAGACAAGAAACCGGAGCTGCAACTGCGATCTGGTTGGCCAACGGAGGCTGGGAAGGTGTTGCTGCTGCTGTTGCCGGTGGGGTTGCAGGTGGGTGAGTAGCTGGGCTTGTGGAGGCTGAAGCTGGGCTGGTGTTTGGGGATCCGGTTGGTGCTCCGGCATCATGGCCTATGTCGACAGTGTGCATTCCGGAGGTGACGTCGGCATAGGGGATGTGGCAGTGCACACTACCGTCTTGTTTGACAGATTATGCAGTACGTTGTTTCGTGTTTTTCTGCTCTTGCTCATTTGCTAAACCTTAACAGCCTTTTGGCTTCAATCCACGCATTTGTGATCTCACCCAGCCAGCAATGGCTTCCATATGTGTGATCCTCTTTTGGATCTTTCGTGCTCTCATGTTTTTCGATATGCCAAAATACAATTTTCTTCCCAATTTGAATTTCAAGAAACCCAAGCTGAGATTTGGGAAAGCCAAATTCATTGGTCGCCGAAGATATTCTTGCAGAACCAGACGCCGATCCAATTTGAAACGATGTCTCCATTTCACGAAAGCAATTTTGATTTTCATTTACTATATGACTTTTCTATGGCACTTCCGACTTGCATGGCACATCAGTGCCAAGTCACGAAATAAGAAGATGCACAGTCTGAATGGTAATGGGCCTCCCAAGACCTCCGAAGGAAAAGGTCAGAAAGGAAAAAATCGATCAGCTCCCAAAGGTGGTCAACAACCCGCTGCAACCGCATCTGCCAGTTCGACCACAGAAAGTGATGATTTAGACTTAATTCAGCAAATTCAATCGGCCTTACCTCAAGCAGCAGTTCTCCGATCCCAAAGTACTTTAGATTCAACTGAGTGGTCTGTTCCCACTGTCAGCCCACAATTGTTGGATCATCGTGGGGGGATTGCACTCACGCCTCGCCGAATGATCCCTGAAATTCTCCGGAAAGTCGGCTTCACAACAGTGCCTACAGCCATTTTAACTTCACAACCAGCGCAGGATTTGGGCATGAAAGGATTTCCTCAGCAACAGGTGCGCTGTGCGCTTCTTGTTGTAAACGATGAAGGCAGCCGAGACCGAATTGAAGTGAGCCGATGGTTGATTCAGATTTCTTATGGTCAGCCTGTGACCCAAATTCTTCAAGGAAGAAAGGTGGACATTTTCACTTCTATGCAGTTTCATATTGCAAAATTTCCCAGTCGCTTTGGATGGCCAGAAAAAGTACCTGCCAACCTTGTGGCAACAGAACTTCAGAAACATGTGCCACAGGACGCCTTCTCGGAGATTGTTTGCCGTGAATCCAAAACAGCCAGTTTCCTTTTGCACAATGATTACAGTGAAGTCATTCTTAAAGCATCAGGCCAATGTGGTGTATTCTACAAACTCAAAAAGCCCACCTCTGAAGAGGACGAGACGGAGATGCCGCTGTTGTGGCTTGACGAATCGATTGAACTTGACACTGCTCTGTCACTTGCAGAAGAACCAAATGTCTTAGGTGTGGTTGAAAAAGGCAGCACTGTCGCTGCTCGATATGCCTTGCGATTCCGATCCCTGAAGTCACTTGAAGAGTTCGCCAAGACCCGTTCCATCGATCCCAGTAGTGCTCTGATGGGCCGTTGGAAACTCACGGGACTCCCAGCCCAAGTTGGAATTGCAGGTGCTTTTGCTTTTCTCCAAACACAAAAGTGGACAAACACTGACATTATATTTTTGACAGACAATTCATTGATTTTTCTCTCAGACTCAGTTGGAGTTACCGAACCTATGCATTGTCAGTTCAATGGTGTGGCACGGCAGCTTAAGTTCAAAGCTACCAATGCCAAAGGCAGACAAATGATGAAAGATACCAACAAAGCCTCAGCTGCATCTGTGACACCAGTGATCGCCACTCCTAACGCCAGAGCTCAGGAACGCAGAGAATTTCTCCAGAAAGTTGCTCCCAAAGCAACATCTCCTCCTTCACCCAGACATGGTGAAAAAGACAAACGGCCTGCTGCCAAATCAGGTGAAACACCAGATGGTAAAAGACGCGAAGCTGGACACTGACGCTGCATCGGAAAAGAATTGCTGTTGACATGTGGTTTACAACTCGTAAAACTCTCAATAAATTAGTGCATATTCTCAATGGTAACACTGCCGGGAACCACTCTTGGCACCAGAAGCATAAATTTCCACTCAATTCCAGCATCACCATTAGCATCATTAATCCCAATGGGCTTGGTGTTGCTCCCAAACGTCAATTTGTGCAAGACTCTCCCTCAGACATCATTGGGATCAGTGAAACACACTTCCAATCCCAATATCATACTGCTTATCGTGAACAATGGTCACAGTTTCATTGCATGTTCTCAAATGATCCTGACACGAAGCATTATACAGGAGTTGCTTTGTTATTTCGCAAGAGCTCATTTTGGAAGGTCTCGCGTATCCATTGGCCAGCTGACAATCCATGTGCTACGTTTGCTGATGATGGCCGTCTAATCGCTGCTCAGGCATTCTTCGGCAACGGGGGAAGTTCCATTGTTGTCTATCAACTTTATGCCCCATCGGGATCCAGATGGGAAGAGCATAAAAAGCGCTTGTTGCACCAAATGGTAGATGCTATCCAGCAAGATTGCGTTACTCGCGGGCAATTGCCATATGTCATCATGGGTGACTTTAACATGCCCATAACTGAAAGTACCAAGCTCACTGCAATATTGCAACATAAAATCGTATATGATGTGCGACAAGTTGCCTTGCCAGAAAATCTCCATACTCCTACATGTCATGTTGGTCCTTCACAAGGTTCCTGCATTGATCACATCTTTGTTTCCGGTTCACTCATTGATAACATGTTTAACTTTGACGTTAAAAAGACCAATGTCTTTAAGGACCATTCTGTTGTAAACATTTCCATGAGTGTTCCTAAGCCTTCGCAAACTCGCATGAGTCTCCGTAAACCTCCCGAATTGCCGGAATTGCAAATGCCTACGGCTGATGACGCTCTCATTCCTTCTCAGATTTCCAACCAATTCCCAAAATTATTGACCCAAGGTCAGATCGATGAAGCGTATTCTCTCTTTGTAAAGGAGTTTAATCGAATTCTTCATGTAATCGCGCAGGGCCACAAGCAGACGTATCCGCCAAATACTTGCCGAGGTAAAGTTTCGCTTCATGACCAACGACGGTTTCCCAAGGCTATCGGAGCCCATGCCTCCACTCTCAACTCACGAAGATTATATAAAGCCTTTAATCAAGCCATAGAAGTTTCTAAAGCAAGCCCTGGTTATCGCGCTGATACCACATGGGAGGCTATTCTCAAAGTCTCACATCTCATATTACCTGAGCAACAAGCCACTTTTAATGAAATTATGGCACGGCCTGCATCACATGATGATGCTCTGTTGATCTCACAAATCATCCAAAAATCAATGGATGCAATGTTCAGGCACGACAATGCACAGCGATTACAAAAATGGAAGATTCGTATGCGAAAAGACCAGTCACAAAATTACAAATGGCTGAAAAGCAAAGCCAAACATGCAGCTGTAACTTGTCCTACCACCACTCTCAGCAATAGTGTAAACTTGCACGCTAGACTCGACTCTATCAGCAAAATTTGGAAAGATATCTATTCACAACATAAGCAAGGAGAGCCCTCCCTGCGTACGTTTCTAGGTAAATATGGTCCCACGCTCAAAAGCCATTTATGTGAGTTGCCCGAGCTTTGTGCCAATCACTTTCGTATAACTTTGAAACGTATCAAGCCTAGCTCTCCCGGAATGGATTCCATAGCACCTCAAGAAATTCAATTGGTTGCGGCGTGGTGTCCAGAGATTCTAACCATTATCGCCAACCTTTGTAATGCCATTGAATCCACAGGCCAATGGCCTCATGTCCTAACCAAAGGTGCTGTTTGTTTTCTACCCAAGATCTCAGGAGATAACCTTTCCCCAACAGACTATCGTCCATTAACAATCTTGTCTAGTATATACCGCTTATGGGCAGCTACTCGTCAAGACCAACTGTGTGAGCAATGGCTTCCCCATTGGCAACATCAGAATGCATACGGTCTCAAACAAGCATCCGCGGCAGATGCTCTTGCATATCACACATGCTTGGATTTTGCTCAAAGCATGCAACAAGGACAATATGCAGGCGGCTTGTCGTATGACATGCGGAAATGTTTTGACAGCATACCCACTCGTTTAATTCTCCACATATTCAATCTCAGAGGCGCTGATTCCAAAGTCACTCGTGCATTGACAGGTTTCTATGCTCAACACCAAAAATTCTTTCGATTAGAAGGTCACCACTCACATGCATTCAAACCTAGTAATGGGATCGTTCAAGGCTGTCCACTGTCGATGATTTTGCTCACTTCTCTAATGACAGCGTGGATTGAATTTTGTCAACACACTGTAGTTCATGCAACTCCTAGAAGTTATGCTGATGATCTCTCATTAATTACTACAGCTCCAAATCCAACAATTCTCAAAGATCGGATATCCGAACTTCACCATCTCACTGCTGAATTTATTCGAGACGCTGGGATGACACTGAATAAAGATAAAAGTTTTACCTTTGGACACAAGAGCATCACTGCGGCAATTCCGTCCATCAAATCGCATCAGCAACAATTTCGACTTGTTGGCGGCAGTGTTTCAGTGACCCAAAAAGGTTCATGGACTGAACTTGAAAAGTCTCGACAGCGTACTTGGCAAAGCACTACTGACCGCATTCGTCATTTGCCGGTCGGTTGGTTCACCAAAGTGAAAATTTTACAAAGTACTCGCATGCAGCTTAGTTTTGGGCAAGGTACTCACACACTGCACTTGGATAAAAATTTAGCTAGATCATTACGTGCTTGTGTTATTCGCACCTTACTAAATACAACTTTCTATGATGCGTCGCCGGGTATAATTTTTTCACTTTTGGCTCCACCCATCTTGGATCCCGAATTTGGTCTTCATTATGCCGCTTGCCAACTGATTTTTCGGATTTTTCAGAAGCGTACTGACCACCTGCAAATTTTTCATCAAATTACAGACCCACAATATCAAATTGTCATGGATGGTCCAATTTCCCGGATTAAGCAGCTCTTCGAACATCCTGTTTTTAAGCAGACCATTGATGACTTTTTGCATCACCGATTGAATTTCCACACTTGGCAGCATGATCTCCGTGAGCGTTATCGTTCCCACATCTGGGCGATGTTGAGTCGTGATCGACCACAACATTTTCGAGGTATTCAGACTGGCATTAATCGTAAATTAACTACCTCGCTAATCGACCAGCTCACCCGCGAAGCAGATGAAGTACAATATCAACTTGACCACCAGCAAATAGCTCAAATTGATGAATCCATAGACCCACGCCCCAAATTAAAAATATTACGTCTAATTTTATCGGCTGGTGTCCAAACACCAGAGCGTGACCATCGACACAGAAAGCGGCCTGGATCAGTAGTCTGTGCTTGCAAGAAAGCTTCACCAACCATTTACCATATTTCCTGGGAATGCGAATGCTTCCAACAAGAGAGACAACCCGCTCTTGCTGCCTTGCCAAAACCTTTGGCATCATTGCCCACATGTTTTCAGATCTCGACCATTGTTCCTAACAATTTAATCATAACTGAACAAGCTTTACACACAATTCAGCGTTCGCTGATTAATGTTTGGCAAGCTCATGTACGGCAATGGTATGGCCTTGATACCCCTATATCGGAACATACTATCTCTCCTCAGGTTCCTGTCGAAGCTGCAGCCAGTACTAACCAATCAAACTCAGAAGAGCCACAGCCGGTCATAAAACGTGGTCATATTTTACGCATAATTCCTTCAGGAGGAATTTTTTGTGTTCGTTGCGGAAAACAAACTCAATATCAGAAGCATGCAAGACTGAAGATATTAAACAAACCCTGTCAGTTTCCTGATCTCGATCAATCGCAATGGCTGACGTCACCGGGTTTTAATCAGTCAATCAATAGACTATTAGAAGCAGAACGTCAGCTCAATGAAAAATGGAATAAAGCTGACCATAATCTTATCTGGAACAGGAAACTCGGGAAGAAACAGTCCAAACCAGATTATGGAATGATTTGGTGTGCATCATGCGGTAAAACTTGGTCTTGGGCCTCAAGATCTAATAGTCTCGCTAAGCCCCCATGTAGTCCACCCAATATAGTTCCTGTACCCCTCTCTGGGTTAAGCAGTTAGACCATTATACACCTCAGTTTCATCATGCGCAATCTACAGCGTCATCGTCGCAGAATAACCCCACCACAGCTGTGCGCCGACGCATCACTGGCAAACAAAAACCAACTGATGATTCATCACAATCCACCGTGATCATTCCATCAGGTGCAGCATCCAGCAGTTCTTCTGCGTTTCCCAAACGCGGGATTGGTTGAAACAACGTGCTCGTTGAGTGCTACTGCGGCATGCAGTGGTGCTCTTTCAAGCCACAACTACTTTGGGGATCCGGTTGGTGATGGTGCAGGCGGCGTGGTGTTTTTCAAGATTGGCACTAGAGACATGGCTGCTGGCATGCTTGCCTTGGGAGGTGCTGCAATTGCCAATGTTGCAGGCTTGGCCACAGGTGGGGTTGGCGGTGCTGTTGCAGGCGTTGCCACTGCTGTGCTTGCTGGGCTGCGCTCCGCAATCTCAGGTACAGGCGGTGCAGGCAGTGTAGGCTGTGTAGGCGGTGTTGGCATTGCTGGCTTGGCATGGCATAGAGGTGGTGCAGGTGCCAAAGCCAATGGCTTTGGCTTTGTTGGGGCAGCTGCGGCCATCGGTACTTCATGAGTTGAAGCATGTCCTCCTTGATGTACGGTGACGTGCTCTGCAAAGGTCACTCGTGCTCCAGCTCCTTGCTTGGGATCCGGAATTGCAACTGCTGCTGTCTCCGCCGGATTTGGGTCTGGGAGGGCATTCTCAGGGGTTGGCGTCAGAGCTGGGTCTTCCAGCCACATCATGAAAGAAACTAACTCTTCTTCCTCATCATCACACCCAAAAACCGGAAGGTTTTCACAGGTCTCGGTGCCAAAGATCTCCTTGCTCCTCCAAAGCTCAAATTGTGGAAACAAAGGGTGATTCTTGCATTCTTCAATCTTCTGTTTGACTTGCAACTCATCCAGTTTAGCCACTTGGTTTCGGATTCGGTCTTCTCGCTGAATTTCTGTTTCCTTGTCAACCTGAGGAGGTGTAGGAGTTCGAGCTGGAACTGGTGTGGTGGTTTTTGGCTTCGGGGGAATGGTGTCAGGGCTGGTTGTGGTGTTCGGGAATGTGTTGGGTGGGGTAGAAGGCGGTGCGGGCTTGGGTGGGCTGCAAGGCGTGGCCTTGGCTGGGCTGCAAGGCTGCGTGGCCTTGGGTGGGCTGCAAGGCTGTGTGGCCTTCGGTGGGCTGCAAAGCTGTGTTGCTGTGGGTGTGCTCTCGCTGGCCTTGGGCAGGCTTGGGTTTTCTTCACTTGGGAGTTCAACCTTTGTGCTTGGACGTGCTTTCTGCCTCCTCAAAGCTGCTGCTGCATTGTGTGTTGGCTTGATTTCAGCCTTTACCCCTCCTCCTTTAAGCACTGGTACCCCTCCAGCACATACATAGGCTGGTGTTGCTGGTTCTGTCTCCGCTGGTGATGTTGCTGCTTTGGGTGGCGGAGGCTGCAAGGCCAAAGGTGCACGTGCACGCATGGGAGGTGGTGGCACTGGGCAAGCCTGCTGCGGGGTGGCCGGGGGTCGTCCCACAACTGCACCCTTCACTGCGCATGCCTTTTCAGTCTTGGTTTTCTTCAAAGGCATCTCAGGTGGTGGCATCTCAGGCACGGGGGGGGCTGAGCATTTGGCTTTCTTGTTTGTGCTGGGGCTGATGGAGGGCGAGTGTGTCTCGGGCTTTACGGGCACAGGTCGCACCATCACCACCGGGCTTGCTTTCTTAGAAGGGCGTGGCGAGGCTAGGGCAGTTGGGCTGCTGACGCTGCTTGGTGATGCTGTGGTGGATACGGTGACAAGGGGCTCAATCACACTGCCTAATGATATGGTGACAAGGGGCTCTGTCAACTTCATCCCAGGATCTTCATGGGGCGAGAAATCCAAATTTGTAGGCCATAGGATTTCTGACACCTGCATGTCGCATGGGTGTGGGGCCCATCAACTTGTTTGCCGAGGTTCGATGCACCTACATGGAATGCACCGAAAAGAATCTGTGCCTGGGACTCTGTAGCTGCCACTGTGGTGGCCTGGGAATCCTCCTGGATTGGCATGTTGGGGATGATGATTGTGGAATGTAGACCATACATGATACTTATAATTCATGGGTTATGTAATATCAATGGTGGTTATTTAACATCAATTGGGTTATTTAAGATCAATTTGGCTATTTAAGATCAATGGGGTTATTTAATATCAACATGGCGTTATTTTTAATATCAATGATGTTATTTAATGTCAATCATGTTTGATAGTGTGTTGTTTAAGATCGATGGGATTATTTAACATCAATGGGGTTATTGATTTTTGTTATATAATCAACAAAAGGCCATATCCACATCAAATGTCCTCCGAAGGGCTGAATCCAGTAGGCGACGACATTGGCCGCGTTGCTGGAGGTGTATGGAAAGCCTCCAGCTTTCAAAATAACAAGGGATATGGGATACCCCAGGGGTCATGCTCTCAGTACTGGCACCTAGAAACACCTGGCCTCAGAAGCTCCAGGGAAACGGGCAAAAAAAGCCTTCTTATCAGAAGCACCACATGGACTGAAGGAGAGTGACCGGTTCTGGTCCTGTAAACTCATCATTCCCACAATGGTTCTCCCTGTGTGAATGGCACAGCACACACACATGCAGAGTGCGTATTCGGTCCTCTGCCACCTTCGAGGAATCTTTCATGATTCTTCAGAAACTACGTTTGGCCAAGAATGGAGCGGCTGTGAATCAAGGCTCAAAAAGGTTGTTTTTTTTCTGGAATGGACCCGGGCAAATTGACCCCCAAACAGCAAATATTTTCCCCCGAACATTATCTGACGTTATCTGACGCTATCTGACGTTATCTGACGCTATCTGACGTTATCTGACGAACACCATTCACCCAAAACATCCCAAACCTATCCGACGCTATCTGACGCTATCTGACGGTGGGGCCCTCGTGAAGCTATTGTTTCGAGGGCCCACGAGGGCCCCATCTGACGCTATCTGACGCTATCTGACGGGCACCTTTGGTGGATCCATCTCACAACCTATCTGACGCTATCTGACGGGGACCCGTTGGTGGATCCATCAACCTATTTGATGCTATCTGACGGACCCGTTTCCAAGAGTGCTTTGCCATCAACCCCCCAGTTGATGCTATCTGGTGGATTCCATTTTCATTAAGGGACTTTCCGTCAACCCGTGAATCAATATATAAAACACCTTGGTGTTCCTTAGTTCTTGGGGTACATCATAAATTTCAGAAAACATCCAATATCTTCTATATTGACCTGTAGTTGATTACTATAGGGGACCCAAATTTGAAGATATGTTTAACCACCCAGCCATAGGATTTTTTTTTTGGTGAGTAGCTCCAGGAAAACAAAGATTGAAGATGTTTGCAAATATCATCTGCCGTCCACATAATTCCACTTTAGGGGCTAACTCGGAAATACAAATTGAAAATAGTGTTGTAATCTGGCTACTTGTAATAATTCCCCTGATGATACCTATTTCACTTTACTACCCGTGTGAAACCCACAACTTTTCCTCAGTCGAGCGTGTGCGTATGTGTTCTCTATCACACACATGAATTTCTGCGAATTTTGGTTTGCCAAATTGGTAACCATATGCTGGGAACAAAACACCAAACAAATATGTAAAATGGTCTCAACTGACATTGGATATGTCCCGGCGACGTGTCTTTGTACGTCGGTCTTTTAAAGTATCTTCAAGCCATGCCATAACTGGTTCCAAATCAGCGTCTTCCCAAGTGTCGTTCTCATAGTTCACCACCGGTGTCGCCTTTGAAGACGTCGCTGGATTGTAATGGAGCGCCCAGGAATCTCGTACCTCAGAATTGAGCTTGAGAGGGGAACACCTCAATGGTGGCAAGCTATATATAGCAAAAATTCAGCATGGGTTCACCTGTGCCTGAAAATCCAATAGGGATCAAAACTTGAAATATTCGCATATTGAAAAAACAGCTCTAGATTCTATATATATATATATAGATATTATGCCTGACCACAGTAATCAACAAAACACCTACAATAGCTAGCCCGTTTCCCCACCAAATAAAAGTCAAAACACAGCACGGGCAAAGCGTATCGGATACGCCTGGCTTTGTTTAAGCCGCTTCCCCCCTTTGAAGCGCCGACGTCCTTTGCTGTCGGTGTAATGGGTCACCAACCCCCGTCGCCCAACATAGCGCCGTCGCCGCAGTCTCCTGCGTAGATTTGAAATTAATGATACCCAAAAATGGCCGATAATGTTTTGTATAATTGTATGATATTCTATGGATTGAAAGTTAATATGGTACCTGTCATTGACACCAAAACTACATAGTGTTTGGTTCCAGTGCGTCTACAGTATGAATGGGGGTTAATCTCAAATGCCAATTTGCACCGGGGCGGTCCCATTGCAACCAGCATTTGCGGGTGAACCCACTACTTCTAAGTACCCCATAGGACAGTCCTTCGCAAACGTTGAATGAGGTGGCAATTTGACCAAAGCCGAATTGGCTTTGGTGTGCCAGACCCATATTCCCCAAGCCAAGTGAAGGCGGTTTGGATAGGGCATAAAGCAAATAGCTTGGCCAACCGAGGATGTGAAGCCAACTCAGTGCAAACCAAACCCAGGGATCAGGCATCAGGTCACTAGGAACTGCAAAAACAACAAAAATCATACATGGCATAGAAAATAAGCTTCAAACCAACGAAGTCATCGGGTTCTCAATCACGAAAAACCCATCATAGTGGAGAATGGCGTAGATCATCAAAGCACACTTAGATGTTCAAGTCAAAAGATGCAGAGACAGCAGCATAAACACAAAACAAAGAACATATGACTTGAGCCTAACTTAAAAGCAGTTAGGTCGGAGCTCCTCATTGATGATAAAAGCCTTAAAAAACAAGTTATGTGTAATGTCAACCCTGGAGTAGTAAACCCCATAGGCTGTTTAATTGGGTGCTGCCATTTATGTATCATATATTGTATATATCATATATTGTGACTATCAGGAGGGTGGTGCCATTTATGTATCATATATTGTGACTATTAGGAGGGTACCCCCACAATTAATGGTTTATTAATCCGGAGTATTACATAATCAACCACCGTAAAGTAACCACCGGAAACCGAGATAAGGGCGCTAGGAACCTCTAATTGCCCCCAGTCTGATGTTGCCACACAAGCATCCCGTGACACCAAGGTGTTGGCGATGCCCGTGGCCCCTTGATTCCTTGGCAGGTCCGGGCTCCCCATGGAAATTTGTGGGCATGCTTCCAAACAGATTATGGGGATCGATTATGATTCAGAATCATAATGGATCACCATAAAAGTTGGTGATGTAGTGAGTTGTGGGGATAGGGAGGAACCACTAGTTATATTATGCATAATATCCGATTAATGTGGCAAACATCAAATGGCAAAAAATGTATATCTTTGGATGGGCTTATATAGTACATTTTTGATATTGCACTCCCAGAGAAGCATCAACCACCCAACAAAGTTTGAAGACAAAAATGCTTTCGAACCTACATATCACTGCTTCCCAACCTATCCCCAAAAAAATCACAAAGGACCCCTATTTCCACTTAAGCAGTTTGAAGTCAAGATACCCTCACAAAACACATATTCGTGATCATACCTGTGCAGAACCATATGGATCGAAATGATTTATAAATGTAACACACTTGTTGCCAGTAAGCTTCGTCCCCAATGGTTCTTGTACAGAACGGCGACTCGTTCCTCCTTAGCGCAGGCATGACATATTCTATGGGCCAGTCATTAAAAATACAAATGTTAAATATTTATATATTCGATCGAGATTAGATGGGGTCCATATCGAATGTAAACCAAAGGGTGGGATACATTGCATAAAGAATGACAATTACCAGTTTGGGGAGGCACCCTTTGAATAAAGAGTAAATCACCAGGTTCCTTCCATACTGGATTGTGATGGTTTGCATGCCAATAGTGAACATGATAGCCTCCAAATTGAAGTGCGCATTTTGTTTGATTGGGATTTACCGCTTTATTAATGATGGGGTAACTTGCAAGTTTAACCTTCAATGGACCACTGCGAGAACTGGAGATTGTGCGATGTGAATGCTTGAATTGGTGCAGGCAAGATTAATGTCTTGATCTGGATCCTCAACTTACTACGATGTGGTCAAAAGAAAAACGACAATGGCAACTCCAAAACCGTGGTCCAGAATTTCCAACACTCTGGAAGTGGCCCTCTCAGTGCCGGGATTTCGCACTGATGTGAGGAACTAGAAGCATGTGGTCCCAGACCCAGTGAGCTCAACACAGTTGGCGCAGCAACTTTGAGGGGATGTTCACTTCACATAATAAATAGTCAATATTGGAAATCCACATTAATCACCCCATCATCTTTGGGAACACCAGGGCAACGAATCAATGATATAATAATTGTTCCAACCCGGCTTCTCTAGGTCAAGGTGCGGTTCAAAGTCACCCAAGTAGAACAAGGAATTCCCATCATCACCATGCCACTGGCCGCTAATTGCATAACGGCAAGCAGATGCCGACAGAATCCACGTGGAGACATGATGTCCTTAGGAGGGCAGACAAGTCATGGGACATGTGGATGACCACGGTAGAACAGCCTAAAGAAAAACATATTCCATCAGAACCGCCATGACCTTACATGGTATCATGATACATACATAAAAAATAATATGACCTTACATAGTGACTAAGGGTCATCAGCATCATCCCTGCATAGGTCCAGGGTGCACACTCCGTATCCATGCTCTGCAAATGCTTTTGAAATTCTGGCTTGCCCAGCAAATGCGTCGATGCAACAATACTTCCCAGGAGTATGAACGAAAGCCTGTCATGGGATAAGAAACATCAGCGAAGAAATTGTTTTTTCCTTATCTTCATCAGGGAACCCTTACAGCTAGCCTATAAATCCCCATCACGGACAGTACCATAACAGCAAACAAATATTGGTTGAGTCTGATTTTGGGATTGCTTTTATAGATTCGAATCATGGTCATCCGTATATCATTATGTCATTGTTTTTGTTGACCATATGAGAAATACAAAATCTTTTCGATAGGGCCTGAGACAATATGGTGATCAGGCACCAAAGTCTGAAGGGCATCCCGCTTGGGTGGATGGGTCCAGGCGGAATCCTGCGGGGGATACTCACCGGTGCCACTGGTTCCTCATCATCAACGGTGTACCTGAGCGAACAAAGGTTCATGTTGTAACCCCACATGTCGTCAGATCCCAAAAGCACATGGGTATTGGTCACTTGGGGTATCCCTAATATATAATAATTTAATCTATCCTGGTGTTTTATTTTTTGACCCATACCGTACACCCATTAAACTAAAATCATATTCTGACTTTGACCAACGACTTGTGTTATGTTCAATCAAGTTACCCCCGCTTTGGCATGGGCATCTTGTAGCGGGTGGATGCTGCTTTTAAGACCGAAACACTTCCCAGGCCGGATGGATGATATCACCCAGATGTGGAATGCTACATCTTCAAGGCTCCGCAGACCGCTGGCAGCAAATCAGGTTGACTGAACATGTTTTGAACAGCCTATGGTATCTCATTTTTCCATGCATGTCGCATCCGAAACTCAGCCAATGCTCGCACTTTGCGATTGCAATGCAAACGTAGCTATCAGTTGAAGATAGGCCGCACAACCACAGGTGTCTCATGCCAAAAAAAAACATAGAGTTTTTAACTAGAGTTTCATTGTCATTGGAGGGATTGTTTGTGAGAGACACCCCGTGGCAAGACTGAATTTATGGCATACACTGGGTTTTCCATCTAGCTAATGTCATTACGGCTCCTCTGTTTGGATCTAAACACACCACAAAGGCCGTTGACAGTACCATTTCGTTTGAAATGTTCCACAGCTGCACTACCTTGGCTTCTTGCGAAAGTAGTGTTGCCTTTATTTGAGGCGAGGGCCTTTCGATACGCACTGGAGTATATGTGATTATGTGTCACATGTGGCGGGGGAACACGTTCTTCATTGCTGTCAGCAGGAGGGGGCTTGCTAACCCTGGGTTTCCTTTTCGGTTTGGCTTCAACGGGCTCGGGTGCTCGGACAAGAGCTGCTGCATTGCTGCTGGCAGGCATTGCACCGCTCTCAGGCATTGCATCACTCTCAGGCATTGCATCGCTCTCAGGCATTGCATCGCTCTTGCGTTTCGCATTGCTCTTGGGTGCTGCTTTGCGCTTGCAAGTTGCGCTGCTCTTGGGTGCTGCTTTGCGCTTGCAAGTTGCGCTGCTCTTGGGGCTCTTGCGTGCATCTGTGCTCTTTGTGCGTGCACCTCGGGGCTTTGTAGCCTTTGCTCGGGATTTTGCTGATGCTTTGGCCCTGGTTGCTGGCCTCCCTCGTTGTCTCGGTTGTGCTTTCCCTTTTCCACTAGGGGCTGCCTTTGCCTTGGCTTTACGACCTCTAGTTTTCCCAGCAGCTTCCCCCTGTGTGCCGAACTCAGGGGGCTCCATGTCCTCAATCTCCTTCTGAATCTCTTGCATGTATGCTGGCACACTTGGCAAGGGATACTTTCCGGTGTCTTCTGTGCTGAGCTCCTGCCAGGCAAAGCCAACAAAGTTGGATGCCGAGACGATGTGGTGAGCCAAGTTTGGTTTTCGATGGATCCAGTCCAGTGGGAAAAATATGCATAACATCAACAGTGCCAAAAAAGGAAAACATTCAGTAATCACGTTTAAGTTTGCAAAATCAATAGTTAAAACATATATAGGATATGATTAATATGGTGATACAGGGATTATGAAGGATATGTTGATATATGGGATATATTTATCGATTTAAATGAAGATGATTTATATAGTCTTAACTTGTATGGGGATCTATAACTTATATATAGGGATCTTGGGGAGATACAATTTTTATAATCAACAATAGTGGATCCAAAGGGCCCAAGGCCATACCATAGAAGACCGCCAGTAAAGATGTATATAATTTGAAATCAGGCTGGCAAATACATCCATATGATATATGTTCGGATCCTTGGTTTCAGCAGCAGCGCTGCCAGCAGAAAGGACGACCTGCAAAAGCAACACATATGGTGTGGATCTTTCATGATTCATTAAACAACATCCTAGCACCAACATGGAAAGTCCAGGTCAGATAGCTTACCTTCATTCGGATGGGCTAGTCAATTGTGATCCCGCTTTAGGTTGAAGAACCTGGTTTCCACTTTTTTGTAAGTAAGCAGTGCTGCCACCCACCCAGAACGCAAAGGCCTGCACCTCCGAAGGCTCAAGTTCACATTGAGACTCAGAAGCCGGGGGCCCAGTGCTGGGATTGCCGTTGTCATCGTCAATCACCATCAATTGAACCTTGATTTGGAGGGCTGTAATTTGGACACCCGGGTTGTCGATAAGCTAAGTACTGTATAGCCAAGTCATTCAAATGGGTTCAGCGTTTGCAATCCCGTGATATTAAACCAAGAAACTTCCACACTTTGGCTGAGATCATCGGAGTCAAAGGGAAGACAATCATCAGCTGGGTAACAAACATCTCCAGTTGCCAAACCGTCAGGGCAAATAGAAGGGGAATAACAATCTCCATCTTCTTCCATACTAGCATGGGTTGGCTCAGGGCTGTCCACCATGACAGGTTCAATGATCAGAGGTCGAAGGCGACGATATGTTTTCTTTGGCAGTGGAGACATCTCACCCCCATCTAAGCCATGTTCTTCGCTATGACCCATGGAATTCTCAATCATGGTGGTTGCGGCTGATTCCAGAGCTACAACATCAACTTGCGTATCCATGTCATCCACATGATTGCGTGCAGCTAGGCAAAACCCGCACATCAAATCTTCAAAGGATTCAGGTTGCCTATCGGGGTATTCCAACTGGTCACAGTAGCAGCCGACTTTGACAGGAGAATCACTGATCATTTCTATCTCTGACAAGTCCACCTCCGTAGGGAAAGGGCTGTGAACAGCCGCCATGGCATCCATTGAGTCAAGGGAATTGCCAACCCCAGTAGCTAAGCATGTGGTCACAGGAGTATCTTCAACCATCGGACCAGGTGTGTGATTCCCCAACGCCGGAATTGGTGATTTCTTCTCCAAGATCCCACTTTCCAAAGCTCCATCATCGCTGGCATGATCTTGGCCCTTCTCATCGCTGGCTTCACCTGAGCCGGGATAGCTATGATGTTATTGATTTCATGTTAACAAAAAATAGTGTTCCAACAAGCTACATTAGACTGATGAAGAGGTTTGAGAATTGGGGCCCGAACTACTTGTGATTTCACCGTCAGAGATTTCCCAAACTCCCTGTTCGGGGTCCCGAGGTTTGCTACTCTTCGCGCCCTTCTTGCAGGTGGGACGGGCTTTGCGCTCGTTGGGCCTCATGATTGCCTGCAGCTGCAATGCCACCTCATTCAACGCATGCAATGGTAGCAGGCATTCCAAAAACATTAGCTTCATAAGACCTAATTGCTAGCTGCAGCGGGTTAGCACAAAAGCACGTGGTTATGGATGAGAACTAGCTATACCATGAACATCCTTGAGCTATAGTACCAGGCACTGGGACGGTCAAGATATAAAACTATAATGAATAGGCTACCTTCATATACCATCATATACTAAGGGTTGAATTTTGGTGAATCATATTTTTTTGGAATTTGGGAAACTTAACGCCAGTGACCATGTCATACCTGGATGTGCAAGCCAGCAAGAAAGTGATTAGCAACCATCGTACATCCCAGCCACATGTGGAAGATCCCGATTATATAGGCTTTAATCCTGATTATATGGGCTTTAAAGGGCCTGCGTGGCAGATATACACATTTTCCAGCTGGAATGCGCATCCAAGTATGGATTTATTTTTCCGAGCTGCTCCGGTGGCATGGGTCCGGGTCAGTGATCTCCTCCAGTATCTCCGAGAGTAGGACAGCAAGCTGAACAGGGCATAGCTCTCCTAAGTGGTACTGGTACATGGGGATATTCAAGAAGAATTCTTGTGTTAACCCATGCAACACCACATATAATTAGTCATTATTTCCAAAAATATAAGGTCCAAACTTGTTAAATTACATAAGTATCAGATCAGATCATCACCAACTGTTTTTCCCAAGGATCTGAGTTTGCCCATGTGGTTCGATCCTTCATATATCTAGCCTGACTCAGATTGAACTTTGCCTCTGCATCCATTTGCATGAAGACGGCGGCCAAATGGGCAGAGGAGTACTCTCCTGAGAAGACAGCATCCCAAGGCGTCGTTCTTTTACCTTGCTAACCTCATGCATGTATGTAAGATGTATATAAGTACTCTGTCCTAAGGCGGATAAATATAAAAATCTTATTTTTGCACATGCAAGATTCCTTCTGGAGATAGCTCAAAGAGACGTAAGACCAAGGGCAAATATGCCTCCAGAGTGACCACCCCAATTCGGATTGGATTGATGTCTGGGAACAAGGTGTTCGTAGGCGGGGGTGCCTTTGCGCAGGCCAACATAGCCGTACCCGAAAGCGAAAGCTTAATGGCACCTGGGCTGAGGCAAGGATGGGGGGACAAGATGAATCAAATTTTCTCGATCAAACATTTATTATCCAAAAAAATCTAAATGATAGTGCGCACCAAACGTTCATAACAGAACATAGAAAACTATTATGAGGTGAGGCACCTATCACATCATTGATGTTCGGGCTGGCCATGGCTTTGAACAGCTGTGCGTGTTTTGAGCAAATGCACTACGTAAGGTTCGAAGCATCAGAAGTAGGTTCCAAACATGAGGCAAGGTGACATCACCATTTTCAACTTTCAACATGTGACCCTTTGCCATCAATCCCCCCATGGGCAGTGTTCAGTCCTCCCCGCCAGGACATTCCCGCCGGCACAGCCAGATGCAGATGGACATGATAGCCGCGAGAAAAGAATGGCCATGGCCAAGTTTCCACCAGGGGTGGGTGCAAAAAACTGATAAAGTATCATAGATGAAGAACATCCACATGGTTTGATTTTGATATTTTGGGTTAGGATTGGTGTGGCAGCTATCAACTTGATTTGAAGCTATTCAACATCTTGTTGTGGGGATGTGGTCCCTCGGGGGCCCTCATGAAGATCTCCCCCAGGTACATGAACCCTCGCTATGATAGTACCAGGTACCAAACCCTCGCTCCTAGAGCCCAAACCCTCGCTCACAGAGCCCACCGAGTGTTAGGGATATATATATATATATATATCATATATCTATAATTACATAAGTATCATTAAAGGATAACCTAGCTACGTTCCATATCTTCCAACCTCAAGGAATCAGGAATCCACATAGGCCTTGTCAGCTGTCCTGGATTCGCGAGGTGCTTCGCATTGAAGGAAGTGCCCATTGGCTACTTGGGCGCCGTGCGGGGCTCGAGTTGGGTCGACTGGGGGCTTGGTCTATATACCCTCTGGTTTTTTAACATAGCCATGGGAAATCGCCCATAGAAATAGATGCTTTACCTATTGAAAATGGTGATTTTCCATGGCTATGTTAAATAATTAACCAGATAGTAAATGGATAAGATTCGGTTTACTGCCTGTTTGAAGCACAAAGATGGCCCTTTTCCGGCCCCGTAGATTTGCGGACATAGTGATGCCAGTGAAACAAACCCAGTTTCCACCGCAATTCACTGGCTTGATGGCTTGACGGAAGCATCCCAAAAGCAGGCCAGCCAGCGAAAAACTAGAGAGATTCTTCCTTGGAAGTGTACCCTCCATCAATCATGAACATATCCCATAGGATCCATGTATGCTATATATGGTAACATTTACCATCAATATACCCCCAATGTTAGCATATATACCATACATGGATCCTATGGGATATGGAAACTTCCCCAGTTATGATGATTTTCCCAGCCAGGCGGAACAGCGCCGAGTGCTGGAGGAGTTGCGTCTACACAAGGCCCCGTCTCGCGAATCGCGAATCGCGAAGCTGGGGAGGGGCTGCCATCGGATCACTGGTTCATGTCCTCAAGAATCTCAAGATATTTCATTGCGTGAACGATAGGTGAAAGTTAGTTTGGTGAGCATGCAGAATACAGGCAAATATGCAGGTGTTGGTTTTCAAAATCTGCATGCGACGGTATGATGGGGCTGTAGCTTCCTCTTTCATGTTTGTCTACTGGGATCCAAACAAAACCCGGATGTTCAACCACAGCCCCGGGTGCAAGATGTTGAACCTGAGACTACTTGGGATCACTTAGGTTTGAATCCACGGAGCGGGCCCAGCGAAGCATCATTTAAGCGTTTATTTGGAGTGTTTTTTGATGTTTTTTGCACGGCTTTAACATGGGAAAGGGATTGATCTAGGAATGGACACTTGCATACTTTTTGGATGCCCCCAGTATTAGAAAATGCATTTGAATAAACAACATGTGGTTCCCTGGATCACGTGAGCGTTGACCCAAGCCCATTTACAATCATGAGGGCAACACGAATTCTATTGGCACCATAGCCCCCAGCGCTACTTGCAATGATATCATGTCATGTGATATGACATGATACGGTGGAGGGAAGAAATCCTGCACCAGTTAATAGGTGGTTTATCCCATCATTGTTTATAAGGTTTCAACCATCCAAGGTGATGCAGGATTTAGTCCATCCACAGTATGTCATGATGTGACATTAAATCATCTCAGAATTAGTATGAGTTGATAAGACGTGAGATGTTTGTAGCACTGAAGCAGTTCTATACGGCGTATATACAAAGATGCACGTACATACAAATGTACATCTCTGCACATGTATCATATGGGATATGTATCACTTCTATACTTGTATCAATTTCAAAAAGTGTCTATTCCTACGTTTATGTCTTTGTCCCCGTCTCTCTTGATCACAAGGTGAAATCACCATTCTATCATGTGAATCGTAGCTCCAACTCGCTCCTACCGTTTGGTAGGGAAAAGTTGGGTACCCATAGCTCCCTAATTAGCTCTCTCCTAACCACCAGATTTCATTCCCATGATATTGACCCCAGGATATTCCCATGACATCAATGGGAGATCTTCAGGATCCTAAAATAAAGGTACTGGACCATATTTTTGGCCATATTTCGTGGTTATATTCACTTACATAGGCCTGAAAATAGGCCATATATATGGTAGGTACCTCCAATTTAGGTTCCTGAAATCGCCATTGATTAATGGTATGACCAATGTTGATGGTTGTTGGTTGGGTGATTTTCCAGCTTAACAACCAATTATCAGTATAATAATGGTTATTATGATGAACATTGTGGGTTGGTTATTGGTTATTACATGTTATTACCAATTAGTTGCAGGGTGATTGTTGTTGAACCTCAGTTGATATTCCCACTAGAGGTACCTCTTGGTGCTGTCCCACAAATCTCAGGCCTTCGATTGTCCCTTCGTCGTGCGATACTTCACGTCCTGGATGCAGGCGCAAATGGCGCAGGGCTCCCGAGGGCTCCCGAGGGCTCCCGAGGGCTCCCGATGAAAGCAGCTTGTAATTGATCGTATACTGTATATTACTAGATAGATCTGGGTAAACTATAACGCACTCACTGCGACCTCACTGGAATCATGGTTAGTAAGGGGAATCATCCCCAAATCTCATAACGTAGCATGACGTGTGTGGGCAAGTGCAAGAGAACATAACAATAACGTAGCATGACGTGTGTGTGTGTGCAAGTTGACATGAACGTCATTGTCCACCCCACCCCACCCAACCCCACCCCAAGTTAACCATAGCGTAGCATGACGTGTGTGAGCAAGTGCAAGAGAAGATCACAATAACGTAGCACGACGTGTGTGTGCAAGTGCAAGAGAACATAGCAATAACGTAGCATGACGTGTGTGTGCAAGTTGACATGAACGTCATTGCCCCACCCCACCCCACCCAACCCCACCCCAAGATAACCATAACGTAGCATGACGTCTGTGTGCTAGTTGACATGAAAGACCATCAAAAAACGAAAAAATGCCAAAAAATGCTTAAAACACCATGGCCGTCTATGGGTCGGGCTCCAACTACATTATATACAATGTTTGTAAAACTATATGTATGAAACTATAAATAGCTATATACAATGACAATATATACATGGTTCTGTCCTCCGCCTCTCCACCCCCCCATGGGTGGGGGGGGGCGCATGGGCCACTACCAGGGGAAGATCTCATATGGGGGCAGTATATGGAAGCATGCAAAGAGACGAAGACATAGGTATGAATATACAAGGGCACTACCAGCCACAGGGGGGGAAGGGGCAAGATCTCATATCGGGGCATATATATATATATATATGACGTAAACATAATATATATATATAATTATATATATACATAATATATATATATATATATATATTTATACATAATATATATATATATATATATATTTATACATGAGATATATATATATATACACATATTTACACATATATGTATATATATATATATATACATACACCACATATATACATATATATATATATTAAGATATTATAGTTATATTTATATTTAAATTATGTATGTCGTATATAAAGCATATACTATACGTACCTAACACTACTAAATATTACACACAGAGAACCTAACTCACATGCCTAACTCTACATACCTAACACTACACCCCTAATAGATACCTTGTATAACCTAATAGATACCTAACATACTACCCATTGCATGCCTATGTATCTATACACCTACATTATTTGCAACCGTATGTAATTCCCAATGCTATATACTGACTACCAATTTACATAACTACCACCCCCCACCACCACAGCCATTACCAGGGGGAGGAGGGTGCGGGGGGGGGAGGGGGGGTGGCAGGGCCTGGAGCATATATACACAGAACATATATATATATATATACGTATATATATATTAGTTATATATATATATATATACATAACACTGCATATGTATATAATCGATTATAGTTTGGATTTTTTGTCGAAAGTGAAAACGGATCTGATGTGTGTTGTTTTTATTGGGATCAATCATGTCTGAAAAATGGTTGAAAGTATGAAACTTTGGTGTTTTAATTTTAAGGAATTGAAAAAGCCCGTATGTTGCACTGGTTTATCATATGTATGTGTTCCTGCTCAATGGGCATGAAATGATGGGCATACCCCATTTTTAGAGAGACCTGCACGTTCATGATTTTGAATATCGAATCATGTACAATTTTAGAAGTGAATCCTCAAGATTTTTTTTTGGAGCCAAAGGGTTTTAAGCGTACCATGTGGATATAATTGAAAAAAACAAAAACACATGGGCCTGGGAATTCAAATTGAGCACTTTCAGTTTTTTGAAATAAACACGTGCTCCACTCAATGGAGATGGATCAAACTGAATCACACCATGTATATATATATGTATACATTGTATATATATACATATATTGTATATATATATATTTATTGTATATATATACATTATATTATACATATTGTGTGTATATATATATATATTATATATTGTATAATAAATAATATATATATATATACATACAGTGTATATATATATATATTGTATATATGTATACATATATATATACACATTGTGCATATATATATATATATATGTATATGGCTAATTTAAAACGAGCTCACTGCGACGTCGCTTGAATGATTGATGAGTAGGAGTAACTATCTCAAAATGCCCTTGAGTCGGGTGTTTGATGTCTTATTGTTCCGTCCATATTTACATATATGTATATATATTATATTCATATAGATATATACACATTTTGGTGGGTATGAACATCCATAAATCTGAGCTACTGTGAAAATGCCTTGTGGAGAACAACCTGGGTGCTGTGCATTTCCGCTGCATTCTGACCATATTCAAACAAAACATCCGGATCCTCCAGACATTTCCAGACTCACTGGCCGAAAACTGTTGATTGGATGTTTATATTCTACATCCAATACCCTCTGGTAAAACAAAACAGTTTGCTATTGAAAATGGCCATAGAAATAATGAATTTTCCCATTAAACATGGTGATTTTCCATAGTTATGTTAGTTTACCAGAGGGTAACTTCTGACTCTCACCGGCCGCTGGGTGCTTCGCTGGCGTTCCGCTGGGTGCTTCGCAGGATGACACTGCATGCCTTCTGCTGGAGTACGTTGAGTCGGGGACTCGTACCGATGGGGAGCAAGTGGGCATGGCCCAACATATTGTACACATGAATGTATATACATATATATATATATACATATATGCTGTCTTTATATATGATTATTTATAGAGACAAATGTAACAATGATTGACACCCAAATTGAATGGTTTCACAGTGTCCCATGCCCGAAATGATCTGTTTTCATTGGGTCGTCGCTAGGTGGCCGCAAAATCTTTGTCTACTTTTTTTCCGACAGACCACACAGTATTATTACACACATATGCATATACATATATATATATACATACCTGGAGCTTCAATTGAGCAAACTTTTCTGCTCAACCCTGGTTTTGTATATGTATTTCTTCATTCGAACGTTTTTAGCCAAACGAGCGGTTTCATGAAAACGTACTTTTTTATGAGTTTAAATCGAAGCAAATCAGTAGGGCTGAGTAGGGTGCACAACGAGCGCACTTTTGCGCACAGGAGCGCATTTTCGTGCAAACGAACGCACTTCCAAGATCTGCACACAAGATCTGCACATTCTTTCAACGGGATCCGCTTTGAGTGCTTTTTGGCAAATCGAGCGCATTCTTTTGAAACGAGCGTTTGAGTAAAGCGAGCAGAACAGAATGCTCTTTGGAAGCCCCAGGTATATATTGATACGTGCAAGCAGAAAGGAAGAAACAGAGATTTATGTTATCGAAACAACATCCTTATTGAACATATCCTGTGGTGCTAGACCGACCCAATACTCTTTTCCAGGACATCGCAGCACACACACAGAGAGATCTCCGTGTCGTCACAAACAATAAGGCAGGTAAGACAGCATGTTGCAGACATGCAAAGGCACATTGTGACAGTGTACAATGGACTTGGGAAGCGACACGCACACACACATATTATATATATAATGTGTTTTGTTTGTATATATCATCATCAAAATCATCATCATGATCATCATGATCATCATGATCATCATGATCATCATGATCATCATGATCATGATCATCATGATCATCATCATCATCATCATCATCATCATCATCATCATCATCATCATCACCATGATAATCATCATCATGATCATCATCATCATGATCATCATCATCATAATAATAATAACCACCATAACCATCATAATCATCACCATTGTCACCATCATCATCATGATCATGATTATGATAACAATTATCATCATTTTCATCATAATCATCATCATCATCATCATCATCATCATCATCATCACCGTCACCATCACCATCAACTTCATCACTGTCACTGTCACCAGCACCATCATTGTCACCATCATTGTCACCATCATTGTCACCATCATTGTCACCATCATCACCATCATCATCATAATAATAATGCCCATCATCAGCGTCACATGTTTTTCTATATATGTACACAATAGTGTCAGTATGTGTATTTTTATGTACGTCACATTATGTTCATTTATATATACATAGCATTGTATTGTATTGTACTGTACTGTGCCGTTCTCCACTGTACTGTATGATATCTGTATATTTTGTTATTTAGCATCTTATGCGGTTTCCGTGTGTTGCTGGGTTGATCTTTTCAGACGGTCTGATCGCCAAGGAACGGTTCGTTGGCAGCAGAAGTGCAGAGGTTCTGACACCAGGGCGGGATGGAAATGGATAGGGCATACTTTGAGGGAGGATGAATGCACATGTTTCATTTGTTTTGGAAGATGTGTGTGTGTGTGTGTTCTTCAATGGGTATACTGTACCAATTGTTTGGGGTACTAGGTGGGTCATAATTATGGCAATAATAACTATTAAGAACTGAATATTGTAACCATATGAATCTATCGGCATTATATCTGGTACTTGATGGGGGGGGTTATGAGTTATACAAATGAGCGATTTACAAAAAGCATGTTCAAAAATAGATACTGACACATTGGGCAAAACCACCGTGAATATCATATGCAGATTCCTTTTTTGGGGGGATTTGACTGGATGCACGGGACCTATTTACTAAGTGCGTAGTCACTAAAACCTGAAACAGAACTGGGCATATTTGTACCATATCATGAATGTCATATCACACATATCATGAAATTCATTCATGTATAAACTGGTATTTCCCACTTATATCATGAATATCATGTCATGGATAACTTGGATGCACCCCCCCGGATTCGTGTCAGTCCCTCAGGGGATAAGCTGGTTGAATCATTGGATTGGCCGGAAAAAAATCAAATGCCTTGGCTTATCTCAGTATGATATCATTCCCATCAATTTGATATATATATATATATGAAAATCCCATGATTATAGAGGTTTCATTTTTTTGGTTTGAATGGGAAAATCAACTATATATATATATACCATGGAACATATATTGATGTATAGGAAATGATAGGAAATGATACCATATATTCCCATCATATGATTTCCATGGAAAATTGATGGTATATATGTATATATATATATATATATATCTGGGTAAATTATAACGACCTCACTGCGACCGAACCCTGGAATCATAGTTAATAAGGGAAATCATCCCCAAATGGGCCTTAATTCAGGTTAGTGAAATATTATGATTTACCCATATATATATATATAGAAATCCCATCAATAGAGGTTTCAATGGAGGTTCTAATGGGAAAATCAAACTATATGTATATATATCATATTTGGTTGGTGGTTTGGAACCATGGAATTTTATTTTCCATTTCATATACGGGATGTCATCCTTCCCAATCTGACGAACTCATATTTTTCAAGATAGTTAAAACCACCAACCAGATATAACCAGTCCCGAATCTCAGTGCATCATCCAAATTTAAGAGATGGAAGAACTGTCCGAAACGACAAACCAGTTGTATTGGTTGTATCAGATGATCATATCTGTATTTACTGATGTTCCGATGCCATTTCTCGTGGAACAAAACGCTTGACTCCACCAACTAGTTCTTGCTTGTATCCCAGGTTTCTCCTTTACCCACGACACAACAAATTACAATCAGCCAACTGCTTACATCAATATCTTGCGCTGTCACCAACCAGAATCAGAAGTATCGCATGAGTTGGTAAACTACTGTATCAAACATGTTGGGTGGTTGCATTTCTTTGTTGATGAAATGCATGCTTTCCTGGTAAAATCATTTTTTTCTTGGCGAAATCCTAGTTTTCCATCAATTTCCCAGATTTCTGTTGGGTCAAACTCCACCATTTACCCAGATCGATATCTAGCGACCACAAACCTGGCAGGTGTCGTCGAGAAGATCGACAGATCTCGGATGCCTGCATCATCGATTGGGCGAGTCAGTGCGCAGGGACATGGTTTTGTCCGGCAAGGGGCCCCCAGGGGGGGTACAAGGTGAGGCCCCGCCCAGTTTAAGTTGGTTTATAAACACCATAAATATCCATTGACTATACTTCTGACGCCTAGTTCATCAAGTTATTTGCGTCAACTTAGCGTGTGAGGGCCTCACCTTGTACTTGGAGCATCACCCCAGAACTCACTGGTGAAAACCGGAGATTAGTTCACCTATTTGTAATGGCATAACCCATGAGTCAGGGACCTTCTAAACAGCATTAAGCGCTTATGATCCTCGGGATGATCCTCCAAGCCGGGGCCCCGAAGTTATGGCAACTTTCAGGGAAAGCTGGGGGGCATATGACTGACTATGAACCATGATATACAACTCGGGTAGACTATGGAGGAAAATAGTTTTCTATGAAATTACCACTGACCATCGGATCTTTCATGATTTGTGCATACCCCATGAGCATGGCGGGAAAATTTCAGGATACAGACGTTTCCCGAACTGCAGTTGGCGTTTTTAAAACCTGGTACCTTGGTTTCCACCTGCCTGAGACCACTTTTTTTTGTTGCTTAAGTCAGTTAAGTCTCCATTTTGATTGATTCTGTTGTTATATAAGTCAGTTACCCTCCTGCAAACTAAGATAGATGTGGAAAACCCAGCGTGAATGGAGATCATCAATTCCGAAGGGATTCTTCCAAAATGGTTTTCCACATGTGTTTGTAGGTTACCCCAGAGTATAGTAATCCCCAAAAAGATAGAACAGGATGGTCTATTGTAGATATTGTAGATGCAATTTACCATAATTTACCTCATATTTCCAGGTGTCCAACGTTTCTATCGATTTCGGGGTTGCTACAAAGCCCGTGGCTTTCCGCCAGGATTATTCTGGGCCTTTTGTACCTACACCGCAAAGAAGTTGCTTGGCCGAACCGTGGCACCGTGGCACTGTGGCACTGTGGACACCATCAGTGCCTGGACCTTCTGTCAGGGACCCTGAAGAATGCCGTTTTACCCAATTGATTACTTTAACACCGTTTTTGTTGGGGTATTTTCAGGGTCTACAATTGTAAATACCAGAGGAATAGCCATAGCCATACTTAACCTGCTGGCCAACTCATCTAATTCTGGGGCACCACCTTTTGGCCAGGGTTTTCCCGGTGAAAACACCGATTTCTTCAGACAAATCAAATCTCGTTGATAGGACTGTGATGGGTTTACACATGTTAAAATCCCAAATTCAAAGTGGAACCACACAAAATGCCATAGGCGGAACGTTAGGACGGTCGTCTTCGTAACACCCAACACCCAACGTGGGAGTGTCAAATTTGTTGCTCTAAATTTGTGCAGTATAATACCTTCCTGAAAAGCGGCAGCGGCTTTTCCAAACAAAATAGGGATCCTTCCCCCTGTGGAGAATTATTTCATATTATGTGAAACAAAGACACAGAATGGACACCATTTTGGTAAATTTTTGCATGAACTGGCAACCTTTCCTGGAGCAAACAAAGTAGATAGACCAGTGGATGCCTTGGTCGGATAGGTATGGATAGGTTTGCAAATACTGCTATATAGGCATTATTTTGATAAGGATGTGGAGAGAATCTGCTCTGCAAAATGATGATCATCGATATCTGTTGAATGGTTTATTATTTATATCAATGTGATTTTCAGGATCCTAAAATGGAGGTACTGTACCATATAAGGCAATATTTTGTTTGGATATTCCCTTACATAGGCCTAAAAAATGCTAGGTACCTCCAATCAATCGGTTCCTGAAATTGCATTTATATATATAGACGTTATTTTTTCTTTGCGGCAATCGGCTTCAGTGAAACAGTATGGCTGTGCGTCTTAAAATTGGGTGGTAGCCTCCAACAAACAGAACTATATGGAACAAACATCACCAACGGATACCAACGGTTAATAGTTAACCAACAGTTATGCAAGATCAGAATATTAACATCATTATAATCACCAATGGTCATTATATAACAGTTGGTTACGCTCTGGTGATGTTAAAATAGCTATTGAACATGGCCATTGAAATAGTGAGTTGTCCCATGAAAAATGGTGGATCTTTCCATAGTTATGTGGCTGTTTACCAGAGGGTAGATGATTTATGATGATTTACCTATATATGATTTACCTATTTTTGCTATTAAACATGGTGATGTTCCGTAATGTGAAATAAGCAGAAAGAAGTCTGTCCATGACAAACTCATGTGGAAAATCAGGTTGTCCACCGAGACCTGAAGATGGAGAACTTATTAGGCGCCGATGGCTGGAATGGATGTTGGAAACTAGATAGACTCCTCAAGGTTCGAGCCATTAAAATGGTCAAGGCACCCCAGCAACAAAATCACCAGTAAGACTTGTCTCAATACAAACAATGGTGGGTTTTATTGATGTCTAATGTTTGAGACATAGCCAAAGCGGATCCAACAAAACATGTTCAGATATCTAGGAAACGTTGTACTTCTAACAATTTTCTCGGTGGTTGGAGACTTAGAGGATGTAGATGATGAGTGTAGGTGGTTTCAGCGATATTTTTTGTTACTATTGCATTTGAGTGGTCAATGCCCAGAAAATGGGAAGGTGATCACTGATTATCGTTTTCCTGTGGAGACTTGACAGATAGATTTTATAACCTCACCCCTGATGCCAATGCCACTATCTCAACTCCGTATGTGGATCCGAAGAAACCCTTGGAGTTGCATGGACGTCCAGGAAGCTTTCTGCTCGTGGATTCACCTATCCTGGGTCCTGCATGGAATGACTTTGCTGATGACTACTTCGCCAATTGGTATTCCGTTGGTACTTCTACAGAATACCAATATATAATAGGCCAATATACTTGTAATTGGATGTAATTGGTATATATATATATACATGTACTTACCAGAAACAGTTTTGTACTCGAACATTAGTGTGTCGATCTTCACGCTGATGCCTTCAGAGCCTTTCTGCTGATCTGAACAAGGCTCCAAGAGCAATGAATTTCCCCCCAGCTGTGAAGATTGTGAAGATCCATTGCAACTCATGTCGCCATACCAAGTTTGTTATGTTAAATAGTGTTAAATGCAACTGTTTTTTATACTGTATATATATATATGCATCCACATGCACAGAGAATGGTATTGTATACCCTCCAGCTTTGGCAAGCTACACACCAAATGGATTGGCTATAGATGTTACAGCCATCGCATTGTTCCCACTCTCAAAGTTTGCAGGCTATGTGCACCCAGGTTGAGGTTTGCTATCATGGTTTCATTAAAGTCATCGCAATTATATAACCTTCCAACGTCATCAACAAGAGTGATTCACCATCTATTAGCCATCATGGTTATTCATGGTTGTTTAAAATACATAGATATATAATGAACATGTATATATATATATACACACCAACAACTCGTTCATCATCTATCAATTACGGTTGTTTTCCATTTGCTTGTTCACTTTTGAGCTCTTACCCCTGTCCCCCTTAGAATGTATTAGATTATTTGATGCACATGCATCCTTTCAACCTACATATACATGGAGATAGACCTACAGTGTATATGATGTATATGTATATACAATCTCTTGTCATGCATTTGCTTATCTCTACACAATGTTCTGGTTTTATGTTAAACGTGTTCTGATATGTATTCGCAATATTACAATTATATACAGCATATGTATATATATATATACATATGGGTAATTATAACGACCTCATTGCAATCTCACTGAAATGATTGGTAAGGGAAATCATCACGAAATATCCAAGAATTATTGTAATTCACATATATATACGTATATATATATATACACGTATACATATATACATATATATATATATACATGTGTATGCTCTTATGATTTTGTGACCAGCAGTTACACAAATGTTCTTATATACTGAAACCGCACCATATTACAACATGTCATATGCAAATCTATGCTGTATAGATTATAGTCTATTTAATCCAGTTGATCCTCCAGAAGTCTCAGCAACCAGCGGAACAACATAGTACCTAAATATCATATATATATAATATACATACATGATTCACTTATTATATATAATATATAACTATACACATACTATCTACATATATTATATGAATCCCACTGATATTATCTAAGGGATATAGTGCTAGAATCCCACTTTCTACACATACAAAAATGATATAAAGTCACTACAGGATGGTGCCCCCCAGTTATAAGTTGGTTTATAAACCCCATTAACTATAGTTATATCTGCCATAAACCATAGTTATGGGAGTTATAAACCAACTTAGCTAACTATGGGGCACCACCTTGTATAAATTCCATTGAATCCCACTGAAATCACCAGAATCCCACTGATGATCCCTGCCAGGTCCCTCTTTGGAGGGCTGCGTGAAGATCGCCGACTTCGGCATCTCCAAACGCCTGAGCGGCGCATCCCTGGCCAGGCGTGCTGGGACGTTCTCCGGTCTTTTTGGAGGATTTCATGGGGATTTCATGGTGAGAACCAGCTATTTTCAGGTTAGTTTATTATGATTCAGCCAGATATAGATGATATTTGTACAACACATATATATATATATATTATATTATATATATAAGTGTATGTATCAATATATTAAATTAATCATTTTGATGAGTGCTGACAGGGGATTTTAGATGTATATGAATGACATATAGCTATGTGATCAGTCCATTTGGATATGGACCAACTATATATGAATGATACAGTTTTTGCATAATTTTGACTCTATATGTATATACGTATATGTATACATATGTACAAATATACCTATACATACAAATAGACAGGTAGATATGCACATACAAATGTAAACAGATAAATAGATGGATGGATAGATAGGTAGACAACTGCTAGAAGACTAATGAATAATACATACCATAGATGATTTATAGATTAATATTATATTTGAAAACATTGTATATATATAATTATACATATGTGCCAAATCACAAGATCACCACACTTAGGAAGGGGGTAGTCATTTTAGTATATCATGGTTGTATTTACTACTAGTATCATGTTTAGTATCATGTCACCATAGTCACCATTAGTCACGATCTATAAACCACCACTAGCTACCATTAGTATAATTGTACCATGATATACTGGATTATAAGATTGTTAAATCCCCTTCAATCCCGATTAAACCACCATGTTCCACCATGTCAATTTAATGTGGGGATCATCTATAAATCCCGAATAGTTTTTAATCCACATCAATCCAACTTACATTACGTAATTTAATAAATGAATAGTTAGATTGATCCATATTAATTCAATTCTTAATCCATATTAATCCAATCGAGGGTTCATCCAACCATGCAGAATTTTTCGAATTGGTGTATGTACCCAATGTGGGGATGATCCACAATCATCATCCCAGAATAGTTATTCATGTTAGTTCAACTACTCACATTGTGCCAAACCAAACTGGTTAACCGTTCTTCACCATGAAATCCCATGAGCAATCCCATGAACAATAAGTCCTTATAAATTCCATTAAATCCCAAATAATTCCCATGAAATCCTCATCAAACCACCATAAAACCACCATGAACCCAGCACTTTTGGAAGTCCTGTTCGCCTTCACCGTTCGTTTCAGGTCGCTGGTAGGCACCTTAGAGGTCATGGCGCCCGAACGCGTCAAAGCCTTGGCCTCCGAAGGCGCCGCCATTGGGTGAAGCCCCAAAAATGGTACTTGAAGCAGAAACGACCCTCGGGTAAACTAACATAGCAATTGAAAATGGCCAGAGAAATAGTGGATTTTCCCATTAAAAATGGTGATTTTCCATAGCTGTGTAAACGTTTACCAGAGGGTAATGATGTTAAAGAATGATGCTAAGAAAACCAACGAAACTCATGGGATTTGACGAAGAAACATGTACTGTAGATTTAAACTGATTTAGTCAACAAACATGGGGGATTTACCCATCAGCAAAAAAAATGATTGACACACATAGGATAGTGTTTGATGAGCAAACCAAAATGCAGGTATCATGTTTAAACAAAAACTAATTTGACTACGAAAAATATGGACAAAACAACTGGTGAATGGCTGGAACATGAACCATCAATGAGGATTTGGCGAGGCAATTTTACCGGTAAATCGTGGGGGACAAATTTTGCTGGTAAATAGTGGTGACTGAACACCATAAATGGTGAATTTCCCAGTAGCCTATCCAAGTGGGGAAATCATGGTGGTTCCTGGTGCACCGAGTGGCGGATGATTGGCGTTCCTGTTCTTTTATCCACCCCATCTTGATGTGGCGAACATGATATCCTCCCGGAGATTCCTATGAGACTTACTACATCAGCATTTGCCCATACGCCGGGCAACTGGGCAAATCTTTATCGCTGAAACAAGCGGCATTGATGGTATCTTTCTTCTATTGACGTTCATGATCCTGAAACTGATGGTCATGAACGACAATGTGAAAAGTTGTACGGGCATGGACATGTCATGTCACATCATGTGGCTTCAAACGTAAACATTGCTCAGGATTTGATCGACATGATCTACCAGCAGTGCTGCAGATTTCATACGGCCTCGGAACATCAACGCAATTGTTTGAAAGCACATCATTCTTTCGGTCTGATTAGCAGTTTGGTTCCAATACCCATAGGATCCATGTATGCTATATATGGTCACATTTACCATCGATATACCCCAAATGTTAGCATATATACCATACATGGACCCTATGGGATATATTAATATAATATTAATATTCTTTGAAAATTGCACGAATGAAATTGTTCAAGGTTTTCCCCATTACGCTCACCATCTGTGTTGTCGAGGTGTAGGCTCCGCCCCGAGCGAGTACGGCCCAGAAAGCGACCTCTGGATCGGAGATCCCAGGGTCTAATGGGATGAACTTGGGTGATTTAATGGGATGGGAATGGGATGGGTACCCAAAAATGACTAGATCCCGTGACTGGGATCTGGAAAATCACAATTTTATGATAAATCATCATAAATCATCCATAAATAGACCATGTTCAACATGTTAGATTACTGGAGATCAAGAATCATTCTGGAGACATTTGATCACGACTGAACCCTGCAATGTCGCTGGAATGTTAGTAGCGGTCACTATGCCAGAATAGCCGAACTTTTCAGCTTAGCGAATTATATTGATTTACCCAGAGCGTTCATTAGCTCGTAGATTAACCGACCAAAATGCAGTATCCAACAATCATGATTATAAATATATAAATATTTAAGAACCAAACCAAATTGCATCACATTGTTAACAGTTAGGCAATGTTATTCCTGTTGCAAACAAACGTTTGAAAGTACTTTCGTCGTTTGACACCTCCACTTGGGAAGAATATCTAAATTTTAAAATGACAAGAGTATGTCTTAGGGTGGCTCGGAATTGTGGAATCACACTTGTGTAGACCTCTCAGTGGCAATATCAATGTATATGTTCCCATGTTGTTTGCTTGTTATAACATGCGTTAGCATGTGTTAGCTCGTGCTGCTTTACCTCCCTTTGAAGTCCCCGAACTCATCATCGCTAGCTTTTGTCATTACTATATCAGCTAGATGTCCATGCTTCAGAACTCTATAGATATCGAACATGTTTTCAGATATTCTAGATTATTGCAGTAAGATTTTAGATCTATATCTATAGTAGTATCTATAGTAAAATCATATAAGATCTATAGATATCCCATGATATCCCCCACATTTTTCGGTTGAACGTTCCCCCATTCGTTCCGAGGTCCTTGGGAGTGGTCCTTTACGAGCTGGCCCTTCTGCATGCACCCTTTTCCGAGGTGGGACCCCCTGGTGGGACGGAGGTGGAATGATTGGCATCCGAGGAGTTAACCCCTTTGTTCGATAGCATTCAGTTGCCTTATAATTGCCTTATAAGATATTAGTAGATATCCCATAGGATCCATGTATGGTATATATGCTAACATTGGGGGTATATTGATGGTAAATGTTACCATATATACTATACATGGATCCTATGGGTATTGGTAGATATAACGAACTATGGGAAAACTATATGGGTACATCCATTATAGTATAATGGTGATTTTCAACATTACTGGTTGGTGGTTTGGAACATGAATGGATTATGACTTTCCCATCATATTGGGAATGTCATCATCCCAACTGACGAACTCATATTTTTCAAAGGGTACCACCAACCAGTATTGGTAGATATAACGACCCTCTGGTAAACAGCCACATAACTATGGTTAAAATCACCATGCTATTAATGGGTAAATCAACTATTTCTATGGCCATGTTCAATAGCTTTTTGTTTGTTTACCAGAGGGTAACGAACCTTCGTATTTTGCTGGGCTGAAACTAAACCAAGATACACAGAACTAGTCAGAGATCTGTTCCATCAGACTTCAGCAGCTAGTTTCCCAACTTTTTGCTATTGTTGGCCTCACCCTAAAAGGAGATCCCTGGGTCATAGATTCATAGATGGTCATAACATGTCATAATGCAATACCACAGTGATTCTTGATGGAATGTCCTCAGTTACATGTGAATATTGTTTTCCTTCATTCACGGGGATGCACATCCAGAACTATCTCCAAATGGCACTTTCAGGTGGATTCTGATGAATTATCCAGAGAGATGGACCCTAATTTTGGGGTTTCTAAGATAGGGAGCACAAAATTGTGGTCATGTCTACTAGGGAAACCGACGCCGAATCGGTTGGTAGCCATCATTGAGGTCTTCACTTTCCATTGAAGCAGGTTCAACCATCAATGATTTGGGTTGATTCAAGGAATCAATGACAGGACAAAATGTATTTTTGTTCCATTGGGTTTCCTGCAATCGTTCCATTCTATTGGTAGACATTTTGAGCTTGCCTGCCGTCAGTAAGTTATTAAGAAAAGATGAGTTGACTATGGATCAAACCCTTCAACGATTTCCAACCTGGATATCGAGGGGGGGCTTTAAGGCCCAACATTGGAACGTTGAAAAACATGGACATTCCCAAAACGACACCGGTGGTTGCCTAGGGAACGACATGTTGCCCACGCGTTTCGCTGTTGCTGCGGTGAGTTGTTTCTTTGGGTCAGAATGTTTAACTATATGGGTATGGATCAATACCTATTAATACCATTTTTAGGGGGATGAACATCCATTTACCAGCTATTTTGATGTTCACCAGGGGTACTATTGGTTTTGACACACTGCCATATAGATTTGGGGTGCAGAGGGAACATTGTCACTGGAGTTCATGTCTGACTTAAATGGAGGAAGAACATGGTTCCGCGACAGGATCGAGCAGATCTGAGTGCACAGGCGCCATGGCCCTTGAACTGGGGATATGTTCTGGGGATATCGGAAGATGGTACCGGGCTGCCCGGCTTTTGAGAGAACCCCCTGGAAGAATCCGAAGGGACCAGGGGCTTGTCCGCTTGTCCTTGGCATCTTTCTGTTTCACCCCTGGATGTGGCAAGCTGATTCAGATTCTGCATAGTGTCATTTCTTGTTTTTCCACGGATGGTTTTTTTCACCAATGAATAAACATCATCAACCACAATAAAAGCATGTCGGACAAGCTGTACATCATTTAGCCTTCCGTCATCAAACATGGCTACAGAAAATCCACCATCTACAGTTGACTTTCCATGATTTTCCCATAGATGACGCCCGTCCAAATTTTGTGCACCAAGAGAGACACCCATTAAACCGTTGCCGGTTTATACATGTTAAGATACCATATATGTTCATATACCATATTAACATTATGTAATCGGGTTATAAATACGGCTACACAAATCCCATCCCCCTAATATTAAACACCCCCCCAAACGAAAAGTATGGTTTAGTAGGGAAATTCCACAGAATTGGAACCATTTAGGGGGTGTTTAATATCTGGTTGCTAGCTATCTAGCTAGGCCTCGCGTCGCCCTTTTGGGTCGCCATGGCGTCAGAAATATTCTACCACTCCAAAAAAATATGGTAGTTTGCATACAATAACATATTATATATTATTGCAACCATATGAAAAACATCATTCCTCCAAAAAAGGATGGTTTGAATGGCAGTAAAATCCCCCAAATGGAGTTTAAACCTCCAAAGAAAAACGGTGTTCAGGAGCGGCAGCGGCGCCTCATCGATCGCATCCAGCACGACAAGCCCTCGAGCCTTGGATCAACGTTAGATCGTTGCCCCAGAAGTCGCTTAAGGGAAAATCTGAAGGAAACCTCTATATTGTTGGCTGGTTGGTGGTTTGGAACATTTTTTATTTTTCCATATATTGGGAATAATAATCCCAACTGGCTCATATTTTTCAGAGGGGTAGGTATACCACCAACCAGTTGGGATACAAGACCATGGAATACCATGGTTTCCTGTAGATGTTCCATACAGTACATCAAATCCAGAGGCTGATGTTCTTTCCCGATGAGTTTGTCCAGTTTGGGGATCTAATCCATATCGTGGCCAAACAATTCAAGGGAACTATTGGATTTGGGGGGGTACCCGGGTACCCTATGGCTTGGGACATATGTCCCAAGCCATAGCAAGATGATTTCTGTGGAGGACCTAGGTTGGAATTCAAAGATTTTGGAATGCTCTCTGGTGTCATCAACTGTGGCTTGCTGGGAAATTCCCCTATGGGGATCGTTTAAGAGGAACATGATCTATAAATTTAAGAAATGGGGGATGTCCATTGCCATGTTTGATTTTGGAATGCAATTTTTCATAGAACCAACTGATTGGCAGAAATATTTTAGATGGCTCAACATCCAGGAGGGCTCCATGGCTTGGTACACGCTCCAGGGTTTTGTTTCCGCGAGGTTCGCCAAGCTGAGAACAATCAGTCAGACTATGTCAGCCTACTTCCCTGCATTGATATTCCATGTAGACTCTTGATAGTATATGTAAGACTATACACATCAATGCCTCTTTATGTATATATATATATATACGCATTCAATACAAGACTCCCTCTATTTAATTGCATTCGTATATACACATTCAATGAAGACTCTTGATAGTATAGTCAAGTTGACTCCATCCAAACTTCTGATGTTGATCATTTTACCATATTTTAGCATTAAAACTCATGTTTTTGGGGATCCTCCATCAGAACCCGAATTACCCTCGGATGCTGATTCACTGATCGGACTTGCCCTTCAGCGGCGCAAGCCCAGGCCCTTACCTTTTTCGAGGGCCGCAGTACTGCACAAGGACAGGGCGGCGTCATGGGACCCGTGGGACGTGGACCATGCACTCCAGCAATGCAGTATAAGATAATGTAAATATGTGTAAATGAAATGTGACACACCTTAACATAGAGCCGCCAAAGAAGTCGAAATATGGGGTTTCCTCCAAGGGTTTTCCCTTGGACCAGTTCTCGGAATATTTGGCCCAGGGCTATTTCGATTTGATGCAGTCCATCATGGATGGCTTCTTGTGCAAGAAGTGAACTCCATGATACCTACCGGTACTACCCGCGCGAACGTGCGCAGGTCGTAATTGGCGGACTCTTGCAGAAGCAGTTTGGGGGCCTTGCCGTTACTGGGGATGCCTATTGAACCAGGTTGATTTCACCAGAATCCGAGCATTCTCCCGTTGTGTTTATTGATGTTTACCAATTTGCTTGTGATACATTCCCCAAAACTCCTCCTATGTATGTTTATGTATGGTTGCACGTTTGTTCGGTATAGCTTTCCAATTTCTATTTGTTTGGGCTATATACTACCGATTACGCTAGCATACGCTAGCTGTGGACCCATGTCTTTTGGTCAGAATCCCTATGTTATCATTGCCACTAACCAATAGATTACATTGTTGAACACATGCAGTATAATATGTATATATATACATACATGTAATATACATAATATATATATATATGTAATAGTATATTTATATATATATGTAATAATACGTGACATATATATACATATATATATATGTATATACATATATATATATATATATTTGCATGTAATATTATATATGTAAACATAGATAAACATTATATATATATGTTATATATATAATGTTTATCATAATATGGTAGTATATTTTTATGTATATATTATATTTTAGATTACACAGTGAGATTCCAATAATGATATTATAAGAGTGATATGTACAAGAAATACAAAAAAACAAGTGAGATGAATCAATGTTCTATCTGTCGGTAGTTCCTATACATATATATATATATGTACGTGCATAGATAAATTACTTAAAATCCATCCAAATTCACTATAGACTAACTTCCTATAAACCCCTGCATTAATTCCAATAGATTCCTACAAATTCAATCAAATCCGTATGAATCATTTTAAATTCAATCACTATAATGGTATATAAAATCCTATAATTTCCTTTAGATTCCTATGAATCCCTATAAATCACTATAGTGGTATTTGATTTACTATAAGCCCTTTTATAAATCTGTAAAAGTCATTATAAGCTCAATAATAATATAAATCCCAGTAAATCACTATAAATTCAATATAAATTCCTATAAATTCTTGTAAATTCCTAAAAATGACTATAAACCAGTATAATTTTAATGGTATATAAAGCCCTACAAACTTGTAAATTCCTGTAGATCGCTATGAATCAGTATGGTATATAGTGTTCTATACATATGCCCTTGTTTGTGGCTCCTAACTGGTGAAAACGCGCATTTTCACCATTGCGGAACCCCAAGTCAGGACGTGTTCAGGAGTCTTCTTGACTGCCCGCAGTGTCTTGTAAGGGGGGACGGGAGGGGGTGTATGAACGTTCTTGGCCTTTGCGTTCTTGCACGCATGCGGCATGTTACGCTAGCAGTTCTTCTCTTGCACTTGCACACATGCGGGATGTCACGCTAGCAGTTCTTCTCTTGCACTTGCACACATGCGGGATGTTACGCTAGGAAATCTTCTCTTGCACTTGCACACATGCGGGATGTTACACTAGCTGTTCTTCTCTTGCACTTGCAGAGAGCACCTGCAACAGCACATGTAGATGCTATGTATGCACGCTTTATTTGTTCCAAGCCTGGCCTGCACAATGTGCTGAAAGCATTGGCACTCACTCGAAAAAATCGAGCAAACCAACTTGGATATGATCCAGCAACATACCTGGATATCACGAAGGACCGTGAGTGGTCGTGGGACTGAGGGAAAAATGTCACTGCATTGCCAGCTTCGCCGCGCGTTTTCATCAGAGTGGAGCGTTGGTTGACACCCCCTTCCTTTCAGACACTTCAGGCCCTCTCAACGTCCCAGCGCTGCGGAACTCTGTCAGGACCCAGACCTAGGCGTGGCTTTTTGATCCCGCTGAAATGCTGCATTAACTAAGGGTTTCACCGTGGAAAATTGAGGATGTCAGTAAAATGTTGATTTCACCAGCCAATTCATTGGATTTATGTGGATTTACCATCCCCAAAACATCCCAAAACTAAGTGTTTGACCCCGAGAATTATATTTCTTTAGATGAAAGGATGAAAAAGTTGTCGTCCAACCCCCTATTTGGATCTATTTGGCAGGGTCCATGTTAGTCGGGGTGATGGTAAGCATGTAATACGGAAAGGGTAATTCAAACGTCAACAATCCGGATTTCACTATTTGAAACGGGAGTCAACAGTTAACCATCAAGAATAGGGGGTTCAATTCAACCATGAACAAATGGGCCCAAACAAGTTTTACAAATTTACAGGTCCTACCTTGCTCAGAGCCTTTATATAGAAGAACATGTTCAGGTCCGAATTTGTGGTGTTTGCGGATGTGGACATATTGGATCTCTGGGACTCCAGACTGGAGATGGCAACCAACAAGAAACTGTGCTTTACACGGGTTCGCATACATACCCCAACAGTCACCGCAGATTGTTAAGTTGAAGTTTTTGAAAATGTCCAAATATAGCTAAATGGAGATGAGTCAAAACCTATTATTACCATCTTTTAGGGAATAAACATCCATTAACCAGCGATTTTAGGGTACTTGGCCTAGGGTTTCGACTCATCGCCAAGTAGCACCTTCAAACATGGTGTCAGGACGTGGTTGGGTCTCGAGAGTGCAGGGTAGTTTGAGCCAACAAAGCAGTGGATGTTCATCATGACTGCACAACATGTAACAATCCCATCTCCCCAATACTCAACACCCCTCAATGGTCCCAAAGTTGTGGAAATTCCCTGCGAAACCATGGTTTCTAGATTCGGGGTCTATTCTTGAGAATTGTTTAATCAACCGAAATGGCTGTTTGTGTTGATGATCTGATTGAAAGGAAGGAAACAATCTGATTTCACCAGGGAAAACTGCTTGGACATGATGGAATGAGATGTAAGTAGCCGGCCATCCAAACGTACACCCGATTACTGCAAAATCGTATGCAAGCCGAGAAGTGTTTAGAACGTTGGCTTTGCTTCGGGTTTGCATGGATACTGTCACAGCCTAAAAGGACTGCTAGTATGATCTTCGCAGATCTTTGCAATATATATATATTATAATATATATATATATTATAATATATATATATATTATAATTTATATATATATTATAATATATCTATCTATCTATCTATCTATCTAATCTAATCTAATCCAATCCAATCTAATCTAATCTAATCTAATCTAATCTATCTATCTATCTATCTATCTATCTATCTATCTATCCAACACAATCCAGATTTGCCAGTCCATTGTCCCTTTATGTCAGCGTTGGTAGCTCTATAGAAATGTAGATGATCATAGTCCTCTTCCAAATGATGATATTCCAGCCATGCATGTCAGATGATTCGACCATTGGGTTGTTTTTTTCAAGGGAAACAATGCTGGACTCACAAGAAACTCAAGAAACCATGGTGTTTTTATACCTTTTTGCCAACAAGTCTGGAAGTTGTGTCCGTAATGTTTTCCGAAATGGCTTATTGATTCAGGCGCAAGCGCGCCGATCAGACTCCGCGGGGCCCTCTTGGCAACACCCGTTCGCCAGGGCGATCTATTCATCACTTTCTTCAGAAGCAAAAACTGTTGGATCATCCGTCCATTTTGGAGGCGCCGGGAGACATGACGTATTTACCTGAATGGGATAAAGGAAAAATACGTTCACCCATTTTGAAGATCCAATTTCAGTTTATTATTTAACTGATTCGTTTTGCTGCGTGGATCTGTAGATGTTGGGTCATGTTTCACCTCACAATCTGAGTGTGGGAAACGTAGCGTTTTCCAACTACTTGTTGTGGCTGTGGCTCCTCCCGATGAGACGGTTGCAAACTCCATGGCTCAAGGTGAACAGCACCTGAAATAGCACTGACACCTCCCGGTGTCTTCAGTCTAATCATGTGCCAACAAGACAGTGAAGAAATAACACATAAATTCCAAGTCCATCAGGTGTTCACTATAGTCAAATTCTGTATCCTGGATCTTTTTTCCTTCTCTTTGACTCTTTGCCTCACCGGAGATTTCGGGGGTCATTCTTGATCTCTACTTCGGCAGCCATGCCACGTGGTAAACTTGGCAACAACATTGTGCTCACGGCGGCCTGCGTCAAGAACATCCACAAGAAAGAGCTCCATTGACGGATGCGGAATACATGATGGTTCAGATTGAAATCAAAAGGCTCTTTGTTGAGTGGAGCCTGGTGAAGTCGAGCCAAAAAGAGCAGAGAGCAGATCAAGAAATATGAAATATGAGGCCATGGCGTGTATAATATACATACGACAGTCTGGCAAAGTGTAACGTGCTCTCAGAAGCTTAAGTCAGAAAATGCCAATGCCTGTGAATTTTCCTCTGCTCGGATGGCAGAGACCCGGCAAAGCGCAAAATCCCGGCGTCTTAGCAGAACTAGAGTAACTAGAGACCAAGGGAGGAAGAAAAGGCAAAAGTAGAAGGCGCGAGTCAATCCACACGCCCCAGCAAGAATGGAGACGAAGGGAAGGAACATGACTTGCTGAACGGGCAAATTGACTTGTTGAAGACAACAGAAGCCATGAAAAGGGGTAAGGGGAAGCTCATGCCTGTGCAGCAAACAACAGTCGACCCCCGGCAAACCGCAGGACTGTACGGGAAAATTATGTTTCTGTAGTCTATGCTGTCGCTCACGGCTCAAACGACCACCAAGATAATCAGATAAGGATGAAGGGTGTCAGGGAGATGCCCAGGAAGAAGAGGCCCGGGTCAGCTCCATGCGGCGACGGAGGACCGCACACGCGCGGAAGGTGCAAGCAATCCCAAATCTTGCAGCATTTCGGCACGCTTCCCCGTCTGCCCCCTCGCGAGCAGCGGCTGCACGAGAGATCTTTCGAAGCAATCCTGCAGAGTGGGGCTCCCAGGCTCCGGCGCTTTCAACAACCAATGGGTGGAAGGTGGTTCCCCTCGTTGTGTCGAGGTGAGCGTTCTTGATTCCAAAGGCCGAGGCAGCCACCAGACTTGTGTGCGCGCCTCCTCTCCCAAGATTTCCTGCCGCGAAGGTGCCATGATGGCCAAGCCGAACGCAGTAGCGGATCCACGGTAACAGGGGACGAAGAAGTCAGCAGCCCGACGTCGGCCGGGCCGGGTGTCTTCGGAACATTGAGGCAGCAGCAGGCCTCCCTTTTCCTTTTATCGCGGGAGGCATGATGGCGTGATGTCCGCGCTCTCCCCCACCGCGGCAGACGCTAGCATGCAGAAACAAGGTGCCGAGGCGTTGTATAGGAGCTTAGCTTATACTGATAAATGCGGCCAGTTCCATATACAGGTTTCGCCCGAAGGTTTGGCTGCGAGGGGAGCTTTGGCCCCAGGCTCTGCCTCGGAACCGAAAGATGGCTTGGGAAGCTATGGCACCTTGAGCAGTTGCGTGGTCCGCTGGATGTGTCAAGCAAAACTGTGAGGGCTCGTTGGTGCTTGTTGGTGGCAACTTCGGTTGACAGGGGAGTGGGCACGCCTTGGTTGTACATGGTACGCACAGCAATCAGATCAGGCTGGGCAATCAGCAAGCCCTTGGGGGGAAGGGCCCACATGACCACATGTCTGCCTGCGAGTGCAGCTTTCCGAGAGAGAGAGAGAGAGAGAGAAGAGAGCCACACGGCCCAGAGAGAGATCGTGATGGAGCAGCACTGGCACTGAGGCTCCTGTTTTTGCAGGTGGTTCTCCCATGATGCTGCTGATTTAGAGAAATTCTTGGAGGAGTGTGAGCGCATGTGAGTGGATGATGTGAGTGCAAATGCAGTCCTGAAATATCGCCACGAGGCGTTCAATGCTGACATCATGAAGAGGTTTTACCGTGTTTCACCGCAGGAGATTGATTTCTAGTTTCATAAGCTCGGAAACAGCGCGTGCCATAGACTTTGAAACCAACAAATGGCCAAATCATTGCCCGCAACCCCTGGGCAAACCTACGTACAGATTGACTTAGCAAAGTAAGGGGGCCCTTCATCCGTAAGAGTCCTTGCTACGCTGCTGCCTCAGATTCTGGACGTGCTTCCAAGTGTGGAGGCCGGAGATGTGGCGGGTGGGGGGTTCGGTTGCTGGGTAATTTTTAGGGCCTTTGGCGACATTGCCAACCTCACCAAGGGTAGCAACGTTGCCTAACGAAGGCTTATTATTCAGAAAATGGTTTGTTCGCAGGGCATGAATAAAAATTAACGATAACAAACAAAATTTAAGAAAATTGGCCCAGAATGTCAAAGGTTCAGTGGACCATCACCATGTGATTCGCTACGGCTCATCACTGTGAGGATCCCGAGGGGAGTTTCCTTGCCAGCCGGGATGCGCAGAGCATGACAGGGGAGGAGGCTGAAACGATGGTTTCATGTCCTAAACCCAGCAGCATCATCCCGTGAATGTGCAAGGTTTTTTTCACAAAATGTTCAGACATCTCATCGTTTTGGAGTTTTTGTTCAAGAAATCATGGGTTCGAATTATTTTTCTTGCATTTGATACCTACATAATTATGATAATCCTGTCCACGTTTGCTTTGCAGTGCCCAAATACACAATGTGCAGTAAGTGAGGAAACATAACATCAATTTGTGGTCAGCTACCAGCCTGACTCGATGTTGTAAAGTGGAATTTCTAAACTGTTTCACATCGGTTACTAGCCTGTAAGCAGGGCCAACTGGTGTTTCTCCAGCAGTTTGAAATTGTGATTCATCCCCATTTTTGTGATGACCATGATAGGATTCATAGTTTTCTTCAAGGGGAATCAAATTCATGATTAAAATTTATTAATTAATACATTCGATGGATCCATGGTTTAGATTCGATCATTTTGTAAACCACGTGTTTATGATTGTGAGGGCTTATGCCGCCATCATTTTTGGAATTAAACAATGTGGTGTAGGTCTCCAAATTCATTGGGTTGAGGGATGTCAGAAACTGTTTGATGCCTTTCACCAGCAAAGACAAAGTCACTGGTGGTTTCAAACATGAATTTTATTTTCCATTTCATCTATGGGATGTCATCCTTCCCATTGACTTTCATATTTTTCAGAGGGGTAGGTATACCACCAACCAGTTATAGAATGTTATAGATCCATTTTTCATGGTTAAATTTGTTAAATCTTCATTTTTAATGGTTTTGTTTCCTCCATTAATGGGTAGGTCAACTACCAACCAGATCATGTTTGATCTCTGTTGAGTTGGACTCCTGACCTCACTGCCCACTGGATCGTGGAGGGTCTCGAAGAAGCTTTAGCTCTGGTTCTGTCAAAATAGCTATTGAAAATGGCCCAGTTGAAATAGTGGATTTACCCATTGAAAATGGTGATTTATAGTGGATTTACCTATTGAAAATGGTGATTTATAGTGGATTTACCTATTGATAGCATGGTGATTTATAGTGGATTTACCTATTGATAGCATGATGGATCTTTCCATAGTTTATGTGAAACTGAACCGGAGGGTATAGGTCAAATGTCATCACCTACTATACCAGACGGACGCCTGGTTTTTTCCCTCACAATGACGTCATAGGAACCCAATGAAATCCCATGCCACTTGCACAGCCCAGATGTGAGTAGCTATCAAGCGTTGTAGATTCATTATGTATCATTATGTCATTACTAGAAGGGATCTCTGCTTGCCGCATATATCCGCATTATTTGTTATCCTTGCAAGATGTTTCCCGTGTTTTCCCCAACCTGTTCAATGTTTGATGATTGAATATTTTGATTGATTTGATATGGTTTAATCATGTTTAATCATGTTTAGTCATTGACCGCTGTAATTTTAAGAAACATATTGAAACATCAAATAATCAAGGTGCATCCATGACGAGTAGGCCTTAGGAGGTCTTAGGCTTCTCAAGGCAAGATTCACCATGTGTTGAGCCATCCCAATTTGCCCCCTTCAAGGCTCCCTGGATGTGGTGACCCTGCGCAGTCATCGCAGCTCTTTGGGTGGCACGGGGCCGTTTTTGGACGGGTGCGCAGACCCAGGTGGGAAGGGAGGAGGCTGTACAGTACCAACCCGCTAAAAAATAGAAAAGTGTTTCCAGGATGGTTTAAGTATAGGTAATGTTTCCCACATATTTCCGGTTTCTCAATTTCTTTTTTTTTGGGTGGGATTGCTATACTCTTGAAAAGAAATGTAGAATTGGAGTTAGCTAAACAAATCAACCAAACAAGTTTCAGTTCAAATTGTTCATCAACTGGTCATAATCATCCCAAAAATATCTTAAGCAGTGGGTTACTAAGCGTCCGAATATCCATTGGTAACTGATACTTGATCCGACTGGGTGGCCTTCAACTGTATCTTCGATTCAATAGTAATTAACAATGGTAGCACAATACCTCTCAGTTCACTGTCACTAGCAATTATAATCATCCGGAAGTAGACAGAATATGAAAGTTCGAAAGCTACTCCCAGTTGAATGATGGTTTTTGACATTTCCATAGTCTATTCATCTATCTATCTATCTATCTATCTATCTATCTATCTATCTATCTATCTATCTTTGTTTCTATCATTCTTTCTTTCTTTATTTCTTTCTTTCTCTTGTTTCTACTTCAGGATCGTTTTAAGATGTTTTCATACTCTTTCTTGTTGAATCCCTCGATCCCAGGGCACGGCTCTCGGCGACGGAGCTGCGAAAGTTGCTGCCCGAGGCTGCGATTTTTATCGGCGAGGGACCGTTGGGGTTTCATTGGTTTCACCGTGAAGGATGGGGCCCCCGTTGGTTGCCGCGTTCAGTTGCCTAAACAAGTGGCTGAATTCTATGGTTTATGGTAGATATATGTAGATATAACGAACTAGTTAATGGATGCTAATGGGGTTTATAAACCAACAAACATCACTGGAGGGCACCATCCTGTAGTTGGGGGTGTCCTAAAATGGAGGTACCCCAATAGCTGGATGGTTTATAGTGGAAAATATCCCAGCAAAAATGGATGATTTGGGGGTACCACCATGTTAGGAAACCTCTCTGTCACCACATGTTTGGGGGGAGTTCAACTTTTGTTGGGGATATCTTTGATCATTGATGGTTAATTAATGATGGGGATTGTAACGCTCAACGCTCAAGACATTGGGGATTGTCATGATGAATTTTTGATATGGGGATCCCTATCAATCAAGTTTTGAACATGGCTGATTTTGGTTTGCCCAAGCATGGCTGTATAATGCTGTATATAACCAACGAGAACCAACGGCTATTCCCAAAATTGGCAAAAATGGACTGGGGTACATTATTTTTAGACAAACCCACAATGTAAGCAAATTTTGGTGAATGGGTTGGTTGCCTAGTGGTGTCTGGTCACCTAGTCTCATTGTCTTGCCATTTTGATGCACGAATATGGGTGAACTCAACATGTGTCACCCAAAAAAAATGGAATGGAGGGCGCTTTGAAATGGCAACCTGGAGCCCAGTCTCGAATTCCACCAATATAGAAGTGGTGATGTGTGCGCAACGTTGCGATTTGAGAAACGGGAGTTTGTGATGTATGTGGGGCCCATGTCAAATTTAGGGCGTGCATCATCTGACAGATAACATGGGTTTGTATGGGTTTGTCTCAAAATTGTGGAAAAATCTGTAAAAATGGTTTACAACATGTTTTTGTAAAATCAATTCACCGATTGAAATGGCCATTTTGGCGCAATTTTTTGGGGACAAACAAGGTAACGTCGTCCATTGCGGTCCCGCTGTTTTTGTTTTGAAAACAAGCATCTTGCTATTTCGATAACCCTTATGGCACTTTCTGTCACCATGGATTTTGCGCCATGTTCAAATGCCTTGCGTTTTACAGCACTTTGTGTCCATTTTGTGCTATTTCCAATGGGTTTTACAAGCCCATGTGCAAATCAGCGAAAAAAAAACGCTTGGAAGCCAGCAATATGTTGGGATCGTGTTGCATACATGATAGACCAGACATAGACACATACCTTGCAGACTTGGACATGTACACTGATTCTTATATACATATATGCAAGTATATATACATATATTTATATTTCCATATATATATATGTGTAACCTGACACAAACAGGCATGCACACACTGAGATATGGTGCCGTAAGGAACGCGATGAGATTCGATATGGTGATGAAGATATATACGCCTTGATGAACCTAAGTGGCCTTACGAGATCCGACGTCACACGTGCTGACAGGGTGAACTTGCCAACATGATACACATTGCAGTTCAAAGGACTCTCAAAACATACCAAGGATGACAGCTTGTCAAAAGTTTCAAACTTCTTTGCAGGTACACAGCTGGACGTCTCCAACTGCTTCCCATGACATCACTAGCTTCGTTGGCCAGCGTCGTGATGCCATGCGCTGGCCCCCTGCTACTGGTTCTTAATTTATCAAAATTCGTATCTCGCAAACTGAAAGATCGCAGAAATGAATTCTTGCAAAATTAATTACCGCAAACTGAATCTCGCCAAACTGACACACATAAATGAAATCCGGGAGATGCTACTGCCTCCAAGATCGAAGCTCAATACGACATGTGAATGACGACAAATGAATAACTTCGGCTTGAATGGATAGCCGTTTACACACACACACATATATATATATATATATATCTATATATTCATCCCAACCCCACCCCACCCCAACCCCAACGGGCAGCGTAACATCATCAGCGTACCATGAACGTTAACATCCCACCCCACCCCACCCCAACCCCAACGGGCAGCGTAACATCATCAGCGTACCATGAACGTTAAGATCCTACCCCACCCCACCCCAACCCATGTTTATTGAAAACTAGCAAATTCCCCGGGGCCGTATTGGACGACGTCAGCACAAACAAGGATACGTAGCAATGACAGTGCCGACATTTCCATGCATTCAGGTGTGCCATTCCCATTTTCGTTGTAGCTTAGTTTATCCCCCTTTTTTATGTGTAAGTGCTGGAATGTGTTGGAGAATCTTCCAAATTTGGTTGAAGTCAAAGTATACAAGGTGGTGCCCCCTACTTATCTGGTTGGTGGTTTCAAACATTTTTTTTGCCATTTCATAAATGGGATGTCATCCGAAATCCATTGACTCATATTTTTCAAGATGGTTATTGCACCACCAACCACTTATGGTTTTCTGTTCCCACATTCAAATCACCAAACTTCGACCGACCCATATGGACCTAGGGACCGGTCATTTAAACATTGGTTTATCAACCTCTCATTCAGGACGTGGGAAAACCATGTTATAACTGCCGCATCATCCAGGAATAATCCAGTTGATTCAAGCGCCACCCAGTGATGTTTCTTGCTTCAAACACCTATTTTCACATCTATTATATAGCTATAGTTATATCAAACTATAGTATGAAATTTCATGTTATATCATGATGGTTTATGATGAACCCACACGTCAACCAAGTGATGTACGTCAACTTACTATCAATCAGCTATAAATCCCATGGAAAATCCCTCGCTGAACAAACAGCCAGGATTTGGCCGAAGTCTTTGAGACAGCCGAGGTCGGAAGTCTATGACCGGCTGTAAAACAATGGGGAAGTTTGTCAGTGGTCCCCGTAGACCCTATATGGGTATTTGACAATGACCTGGGTTTGTTTAGTCGGTGATTTGGCTTATTTTCCCAATGGGAAATCCACCAGGACTGGGGAATCTATCGTGAATATGTTGATGCTTTTGTGGGACCCCGAATCAGCAAATCCAAGATCAGTGTCAGGCTGTGGACAACTCCGACTCCGCGAGGGGCCACAGAAAGACCCAAAAGAGGGGAACCACAGCGGAAGATCATGGATTCTTTAGTCTATATCTTTATGGTCTTCATATGTATATTATATATACACATATATTATAACTGTATAGATATAATGTACGCATGTATTATATACTTATATACTTGTTATATAATTGATTATATAATGAATAAATAAATATCATATATGTACATGTGTATTATGTGCCTTCCTATCACATATCTTCCTCAGCGCCCCTGGTGGGTTGGACGGAACCAACTGGGCGAAGCAACTGGATGGCTAGGGATTTAACATGTTAAACCATCAAGATTGATTGCTCACAACATGAGTTTTATATGGTTTTATATTGTGTTTTATCATATTAACATGATTTGACCAACAACATATGAGTTTTATATGGTTTTATGGTGATTAAACCGAATCAAAAGCGACCCCAAACAGATAGAAAAGGTATATCCAGGATGGTATAGATGATGTTTTGCATTGTCCGTGATGAGCACCAACATTTTTGGTAAAGTTTGCATGACATTCACATCGTATTTGGTTTGATTCCACGCCATGCACATTTCTGACAGTTGAGCCTAAGTCCAGATTGCATTGAGTCTGCTGAGCTGCGGTGAAATAAAGACATGTCAACTTCAAGACACATCCTGAGTTGATCACATTTTAGTTTTACTTACTAGCACTATGATTTCACAAATGGTAAGTTACGTTTATTGTTATTTATTTCCCATACATCTGTATATATATATTTATATATGCACTGCATTGTATACCTATTTACAACCTCAACTGCACCTCAAGTCTATAGTTTTCCAGTCACTTTCGAACCTTTAAAGGGGCTTGATTGGAAATAGTGTATATAGCCCCAAGTACAATAGTTCATGATCATGTTCCCCCCGTGAAACTCTTCATTTGGAGTATCCAGTTCAGGTGTACCAGACACATATTTTTCCATATCATAGCATACAGGATTGGGCCCCCAAGATAGCTAAGTTGCCTTATAAGTGGTTTAACAATGGTTTATGGTAGATATAACTATAGTTAATGGGGGTTATAATGGTATATAAACCAACTTATAACTGGGGGGGGCCATCCTGTACCATTACCGTATTATATTGCTGGCAATGGTCCCAATGTTCTCCCATTACGTCCCACTAGATTCCATGATTTACCGATTGAAACGACCAAAATATCGCTTGACACCAGTTAAATACACACTACTTGGGGGTGCAGTTGGGGTTATATGTGGATATACAACCATGATGATAGGTGCACCCATATATATATACATACCCATTAATGACACAGTTGTTGATGTTTCACGACCATTTTTTCCCCATGTTTCCTCCCATGAAAACTCCATGAAAAGTTTGTTGACCTCAACTGCATTCCCAAGTATACTGTCAATACGAATATCTACAATTATCTACACATACATATATATATATATAGATTTCTCTTGAACCATAGGTTTTCCCACATAAGTTGGATATAGTTCCTCCATATTTTGGATACTTGGATGCTTGGTCTTCCCATAACATGTCCTGTATATCCCATAACTTGGCGGATGAACTTCTCCAGGTTCCGGAGCCTGGACAACGCTTAGAGAGGTGCCGGTTGCCCACGGCTGTGGAATCGGTGGTGCTGCTGTGGCTGGGAATAGAAAGGCCAGCATACCAGATATATATCATAGGGAACTGATGTGACAGCTTACATGTGACCGCCTTCCACTTGAGGTTTAGCACCCAAGTCCTGGGATACCACCTTGAATGTAGTGAAATCTCCCATGTCCCACTCCCTGCTGCTAAACTTTTCTGGAGCTCCCCAGTCCCATTTTGGGTACCCGACATGAGCTGTGTGGGCACATCCCATGACAATTTTGGGGCGCCCCATAAGTGGATAGGGGTCACATGCCCCAAACACTGTTATTTACGAGGTTTCAGGCATCTGACCCCTTTCCACTCCAAGACTTGAATTGCTCTTGTGGCATCTTGTGGCGACCCTTGGTCTCAATTTCTGTGGGTTGCTCTCTTTAGGATAAGAGATTTGGGAAGACCATGGGAGCCCCAAAACATAAGCTTAAACAAAAATCCAGATTCATGTGATGGCAATGATCGATTTTCAAGGGATTTCACTGCAAAAACCAAGGCCCACAAAGGCTGAGAATGGTTAAGAGTTATTTAGAGTGACTTAGAGTGATTTAGAGTGACTTAGAGTGATTTAGAGTGACTTAGAGTGATTTAGAGTGATTTAGAGAGATTTAGAGAGGGTATACATGTCAGGACACATATGCCAAATGGATAGGGGTCAGATCTCTTGGGTCACATCCGCCTCCTATGAATATATACATGTATATGTATAATATATATATATATATATTGATATGGCATATATATATATATGGTGTTTGTAATTATAGTCTATGATATGATATGTTGCATTTTGTATTATATGTTGTTTTGTTGTATCAATATGATGTATGTATATATATATATATATACATATACAATTTTGATTTCTACTGAGGGCATCGAAGATGATAGGCAAAATAAGCTTATGTATACCAGCTACATGCTTTTTGTATCTAAGTTATTTTGAATTCACAATCTGGGTGAAGATCGAGAGGCGGCTATGGGGGCACTGGACATCAGGAATCTGTTGCATTCGTGCAATTTCTTGGTGGTGCGGTGGATGTTGGTCAATGCAAGCTAACAAAAAGATACAAAAAAGATCAAAAAAGTATAGACATTGATAGAGGATCCATCCTATCCTAATTCTTCGTTGGTTGTACCCCCATTCTTGCTGGTTGACAGTTTGTTTTTTGTCATGATTATCCCATTTGGACAGGTACTTTCAAATTGATATCCCCATTCTTAGATATATCACCGCATAGATAACCCGTAGAATGAGATATTGAGGTATCAGGGATTTTGGGGTGTCAACCACGATTTGGGTCAGACCCACCAACTCCAGTAAATTCTTAGATCAAACATCAGCCGATCTACAATGTGGTACCCCCCCAGGCCCCCCAAGTGATGTGTGTTGGTTTATAAACCAACCCAATTAACCCAGCTTTGCAACCCAACAGCATACCTGAATCTTCCACCTACGTCTTTTTTCAGACCCTGTGCCAAAGTCCTGTTTTTTCAGTACCCAGAAAACTTTTCAGGACCTACTCTCAAATTCAGGACCTGGCCATTTTGGGGTATCAATGGTAATGGCAATCATTGGGTGCAAACATGTGAAACCAACATTTGGTGGATATTCAAGCCATTGGCATTGATCCACGCAAATAAAAGCACTCCCAGCCCAAACTCATGGCAAGGCAGGATCAGAATATAGTATATTCCAGAAAGTATGTCAGAATAGATGCCAGATAGGATGCCAGAAAGAATGTCAAATAGAATCTCAGAAAAGAATGTAAGATAGTATGTCAGAATAGTGTGTCAGGGTGGGGATCACTCTTAGTAAGGCAATTTTGAAAATATATTTCAGGTTCGGAATTTTCAAACTGTTGTCCTTCAGGCGCCGAAGCTCCCGTTGAAGGTCAGCATCGCCCCATGTCAACTGGTCCAGTCCCACTTCCATTTCAACAAGTCCAACTTCATCGATTAGGGTGTTGGTTGAATGGACTTGGGACTCTAGCTGGCACGGCATCCCTTGTAACCCTGTAGACACTGTAGTGGGCAAAAAGATTGTAACACACAGAATCAGCATCATTTTGATCAGGCATTCTTTTTGCTAATCCTTTCTCCCTATTACGAAAAATACCCCCAAATGACAAAAACTAGGTGCGATTTCCAATTTTGGGAAATGTCAAATTGGTTAATTTGATTTTTAATTGATCCCCTTGAGGAAACAATTCTAAAAATGAAGGTACCATGTGAGGGTTTCACCCCCAAAGAATAAAAAACTAGTCAACACCGGGGTGTCTTTTATTAGGGTCCGTCCTTTAAAATCGTCAATTTTAGTTTCTTTAATTCAGGTGTTGGTGTTTTATTTGATACTAGGCGAAAGCTTCGAAATCCTATTCTTGGCAGTATTCTATTTAAAGATTATTTTCATGGATTTTGAAATTAGAAACAAAAAACGGTTTAATCCCTTCCCCCTGTTGCTAAACAGTCGCCCCTTCACCCACCCACCCAAATAACAAACACCTGGAGGAGTTTTTAGTATTGGGGGGGTCTTTAGTATTAGGGTACGAAGCTCCCCCCTAATACTGATTAAAAACACACATATATATATATATATACACATATTTCTATTTCAAAATCGATCAGATTTCTTTCTTTTTAAATCCAATTAAAATATGGCAAACAAGTGGATTCCGAAGCTTAATATCAAATAAAAACCTCCAACATAAAAAACTATGTATGTTTTTCTATTTCGAAATCGATTAGATTTCCTTTTAAAAATTAAATAAAATATGGCCAAAAAATTGGATGTCGAAGCTTTTCCCTTATATTAAACCCTAATATCATTTTGTTTTTTTTTCCTGTTTCAAAATCGATTAGATTTCCTTTTGAAATCTAATAAAAAAAATATATTGATTTTGAAGCTTTCCCCTAATATCAAATTAAAATCCAATTATTAAAATATGTTCAAAAATTGGATTTCGATGCTTCCCCTAATCTTGCATGAAAAAATCCAATATGAAAAACTAAATTTGTTCTATTTCAGAATCGATTAGATTTCCTTGTAAATTCAAACTAAGATATTGCCAGAAATTGGATTTCGAAGCTTTCCCCTCATATTAAACCCTCATATCAAAGACTATTTTTTCTATATCAAAATTCATTAGATTTCCTTTTGAAATCTAATTAGAATATGGTCAAAAATTGGATTTTGAAGTTTTCCCCTAATATTACATAAAAAAACCATAATATATAATATTATTTTTTCTTTTTTGAAATCGATTCGATTTCCTTTTAAATTGTAGTAACAAAAATAAAAACAAAAACCGGATTTCGAAATGTTTCCTCTAATATTAAATTACCAGCCCTAATATATTTTAAAAAAAACTGTTTCAAAATCGATTAGTTTTCTGTTTAACATATAATTAAGATATTGCTAAAAATTGGATTTCGAAGTTTTCCCCTAAGATTAAATTAAAACCACTAATAAAAAAAACTATGTTTTTTCGATTTCAAGAATCGATTAGATTTCCTTTTGACATCCAGCAAAAATATTGCCAGGAAATGCCAAAAAGTGGATTTCGAAGTTTTCCCCCAATATTATATAAACGTTGTAATATAAAATACTTATTTTTCGACCTTAAAAGACCCTAGTTTAAAAAATCACCGGGGCTGACTAGTTTTTATTTTTTGGTGGTGAAATCCTGAAATGGGACCTTCATGTTTAATTTGTGTTTGAAAAGGTATCAATTAAAAGTCAAACTGGCCAGCCTGAAATTTCCCAAAATTTAACGCGGACCCTAGTAAAAGGAATCAATGTAATATTTTAGTATTTAGGGTACGTTTAGTAAAAGGAGGTGGGGATTAGTAAAGTTTTCAATTTAATATAAGGGGAAGCTTCGAATCCAATTTGGCAAGATTTGAGTTAGATTTTGAATAGGAATTCAATCGGTTTTGAAATATAAAGTTCATTTTTTAAAACGAATGTTTTCAATTTAATGTCAGGGGGAAGCTTCGGAATCCAATTTTGGCAATATTTTAGTTAGATGTTATTTAAATGTTTTCCAATTTAGTTTTTTTAAACCAAGGGGGAAGTTTCGCACCCTCATACTAAATACCCACTAAATACCAAAAAACTATTCCGTGTGTTCATTATTGGGTGGGGAGGGGCAGACGGTTTATTGTGACGCAGGGATTGGTCAGGCATCACTTGCTGGAATTATTGGATTCTTTTGGGATGATTGGTATGATGTTTAGTCAGGCATGGTTCCCTTCAGTCATGCACGATTTTTGCAAAAATCCTATTTAGGCACGACCCCAAAATCCCAGCCCGGCAAATTCCGGCCCGGGCCCGGCAAATTCCGGCCCGCGCCCTGCAAATTCCGGCCCTGCGTTTTTCCAAAATCAGGCAAAACCAGTAAATCAGGGATTAAGTCAGGTGTAGTTACCTTTTAAGTCATTAAGGCTAGTCAGGCATGGTTCCAGTGGGTACCTTTTAATTGTGAAGGCTAGTCAGGCATGGTTCCCTGAATTCAGGGGCATGGGTACCTTTTAATTATGAAGGCTAGTCAGGCATGGGTTCTGTTAAGTCAGGCGTGGGTGGGTACCTCTTAATTATGAAGGATAGTCAGGCATGGTTCCCTTAAGTCGGGTGTGGTTACGCTTTAAGTCATGAAGGCTAGTCAGGCATGGGTACCTTTTAAGTGATGAAATCTGAATCAGGCGGAGCTCCTATTCTAAATGTGTTAAATCCCATTGTTCAGTGTGGAAAATCGATTTTTTGGCTGGTCTACGGGCAAACCCTGTGTCTTCCAATACCATAGCGTGCTGATGTCGCTTGCCTGCATAATAGTTAAGGCCAAAGCTTAGGTCATCAGTGTGATCCTGAAATGGCGCCACGACCAAGAAGATGACATGTGTAAAATGGGCCCTGGATTAACAAGGCTGACTAATGAATTTGGAGGATGCCACTAAAGTATGACATGTAATCACTTTTGAGGAGCACTCTATGGCACGCAGCGCGCGCAGCCTGCTTTACGGTTTAGCGTTTGAAAGTTTAGGCTTTGCCTCTATGGCACGCAGCGTTTGAAAGTTTAACCGTTTACCTCTATGGCAGGCTGTGCGCGCAGTACGCGTTACGGTTTAAAGTTTGAAAGTTTTAGGGTTTATGTGTGTGGCACGCAGTGCGCGCAGCGCGCATTAGGGTTTAGGGTTTGGAAGTTTTATAGTTTATTTTATTGCATGCAGCGTGCACAGCGTGGGTTGAACTTTAGGGTTTCGAAGTTTTAGGGTTAACCTCCATGACACGATGGTTTAGGGTTTGGAGATTTTAAGGGGTACTTCTATGGCACACAGCGCGCGCAGCGCGCGTTAGGGTTTAGGGTTTAGGGTTTGGAAATTTTAGGGTTTACCTCTATGACACGAGAGTTTCAGGTTTGAAGACTTTAGGGTTTATTTCTATTGCACAAAGCGCGCGCAGCGCGCATTAGTGTTTAGGGTTTGAAGGTTTTAGGGTGTATCTCTGGCACGCAGCGCGCACAGCACGCATTAGGGTTTAGGGTTTGGAAGTTTTAGGGTTTATTTTATTGCATGCAGCGCGCACACCGCGGGTTAAACTTTAGGGTTTGGAAGTTGCATAACGCGATGGTTTAGGGTTTGGAAATTTTAGGGTTTTCTTCTCTGGGACACAGCGCGCGCACCGCGCATTAGGGTTTAGGGTTTGGAAGTTTTAGGGTTTACTTTATTGCATGCAGCGCGCGCAGCGCGCATAGAGTTTAGGGGTTGGAAGTTTTAGGGTTTCAAGGGTTCCAAGGTTCCAGGGTACCAGGGTCCCACGGTTTCAGGGTTCCAAGGTTTCCAGGGTTCCAAGGGTTCCAAGGGTTCCAGGGTCCAGGATCCCAGCAGGGTGCCAGGCGTGCAGGGTTCCAAGGTTCCAGGGTTCCAAGGTAGCAGGGTTCCAGAATCCTTGAGGGTTCCTGGGTGCCAAGGTTCCAAGGTTTCAGGGTTCCACGGTCGCAGATTTCCAGGGTTCCAGGGTTTCAGGGTTCCAGGGTTCCGGGGTTCCAGGGTTCCAGGGTTCCGGGGTTCTAAGGTTTCAGGGTTCCAGGGTTCCAGGGTACCAGGGTCCCACAGTTTTAGGGTTCCAAGGTTTCCAGGGTTCCAAGGGTTCCAAGGGTTCCAGAGTTTCAGGGTTCCAGGATCCCAGCAGGGTGCCAGGTGTGCAGGGTTGCAGGGTTCCAAGGTTCCAGGGTTCCAAGCTAGCAGGGCCAGAATCCTTGAGGGTTCCTGGGTGCCAAGGTTCGAAGGTTTCAGGGTTCCAGGGTTCCAGGGTTCCAAGGTTCCAGGGTTTCAGGGTTCCAAGGTTTCCAGGGTTTCCAGGGTTCCAAGGGTTCCAAGGTTCCAAGGTTCCAGGGTTTCAGGGTCCCCAGCAGGGTGCCAGCAGGGTTCCGGGTTCCAAGGTTGCAGGGTTCCAGGGTTCCAGGGTTCCAAGGTTGCAGGGTTCCAGGGGTTCCAGGGTGCCAAGGTTCCAAGGTTTCAGGGTTCCACGGTCGCAGGGTTCCAAGGTTCCAGGGTTTCAGGGTTCCAGGGTTCCGGGGTTCCAGGGTTCCAGGGTTCCGGGGTTCCAAGGTTTCAGGGTTCCAGGGTTCCAGGGTTCCAGGGTTCCATTCCGGATTTTGAAGGCTGCAAGTCCCCGCGAGCCAGCCCCAGCCCTAGAGATTGAAACCCAACAGGCCCTGCTGTTGGGAACTACAGATATATCTACGAAAAATCCCCGTTGTATTACTTTTGGTAAACTAACATAGCCATGGAAAAGGGCCCATTATGGTTGATTTACCTATATATTCGAATCAAAAGACGATGATTTTCCATCGCTTTTTTATGAAAATCCATGAAATCCCATGAAGTCACCATAAGCCCAATACGGTACATTTTCCATGGAAAACTCGCTTCGTTCAAACCCCCGTGGTTTGGAGGAGGACATCCCCAGCAGCGCAGGAAAGCCTCCAAGGGCCCCATGGCGCCGGGCCGTTCGGCGTCGCACCCGGTGTGTTCCAATGGGCCATTGCAACCAATCGGGCAACCCGGGGGACGCAGGCGTGGTGAAGCCTTGTAGAAACTTGGGTATATCTAGCTGAAGTTTGCAAAAGATTGCTGGGTTCTATCCCAAGAAAATGCTGGTTTGAATGGGAAAATATCATGGAAATATATGATATATATATATATATATAGGGCTGAATTTTTGCAAGACTTCAACTTGTGACGACACTGGAATGATGGTTTATATATAGGGAAGACCCCGATGATGGTGAAATAGTCTAATTCAGCTAGGGATATCCTTGTATCCCATATAATATATTATCATTTGTTGTATACAAGTGGCTTATCATGTGATATCATGCAGTTTTGCTGACTTAGCAACTGGGATGCACATGCAAGTAGACATTGCATGAACATATCAGTATAGATCAGTATAGTTGTGCCGACATTTATATATGGATAGATGTAAAGTCAAATAAACATAGATTTGTGTATACACATGATTGGTCATACGACAACGCAACAGTATGTGTTTTATTCATGGTTTGCATTGTCAGAGATCCAAACATGTATTAGATATACGTAGTGTGTATATATATATATATATATGCACAGCAAATGCTTGAGCTTTGCCCGGAACTGCAACCACGACAGGCACCGCATCATCAGCATCAGCATCAGCATCAGCATCATCATCATCATCATCATCATCATCATCAAACCCTTATTGAAGATCTTCAATGAATGTAGTAAAAGTTTAACAGGGGTGGGAGAATTAAACCCTTAAACCCTTATTGAAGATCTTCAATGAATGTAGAAGTTCAACGGGGGTGGGAGAATTAAACCCTTATCGAAGATCCGCAATGAATGGGGTGGGAGAAGTAAACCCTTATTGAAGATGTTCAATGAATGTAGAAGTTCAACGGGGGCGGGAGAATTAAACCCTTATTGAAGATCTTCAATGATTGTAAAGTTTAACGGTGGTGGGACTTTGATATTCCCTAATAATACCTTGTTGATCTTCCTAATTGAATGTAAAGTTTAACGGCGGTGGGATTTTAATATTCCCCCAATACCCTTGTTGATCTTCCCTATGGAATGCAGAGTTGCAACAACATGTTATGGGGAATGGGGAACCTCTACGCTGCAACGCCTGGGGCTTTGCCCAGGCGTTGCGCGTATATATATATATGTATAATTATATATTTATATATATATATTTATGTATGTATAATGTATAGTAAAATGCAACGTAATATAGCTCTAACAATAGAAATATGTAGACACAATATGTAATTCATGGTACCTATTTTCATGTCTTTCTCGTGTTTCCAGAAGTCTTGGCTCCTCCAGTCCTGTCGCCATGGCCTAGGCCTTTCCTCAACAACTTCAACAGCAAGTTCCCCCCGGCCACCACCGTTTCCGCGACCCATACCTCCCAGGTTGGCTGGTAACAACTCCACCGGAGATTTGTGCATTCGGTGATGTTATTTTATGCTACGTTATATAGTTGATGTATGTTTTTGATGTGTACATCTACACTCTACATCTACACTATATGTATACTACATATATATTTTCCTGGAGGGGATCGATCGAAAAGACGACTGGGCATAGCCTGCGATACCACAATACGGGGGGGCCTGGACCTAGAGGTGTCCGTTTTTTTTTGGGGGGGTCATTGATGGCAACAATTTATCTGCCAGCTCAAGCAACTTATCTATTCCCGATACCCTCTGGCAAACTAACATAACCATGGAAAATCACAATGTTTAATGGGTAAATCAACTATAAATGGCCATTTTCAATATTAGTTTACCAGAGGGTATATCAGATAGCTGCAATTTTTGTTTGTTTATGTTTTGTTCTGCCTTATCAAAACGTGAAGCAACACTAAAAATATCCCACTGAAAGCGGCGGCGGAGTTGCTCAATAGTAAAAATACACCCACGGCTATACTGTCAATCTCATTTCCTTATGGAGGTTTCCTAAGTCATAGGTGTAGCTCCAAATCATATATATATATGGGAATTTCAATGATAAACCATCCATTGTAGGGATCCCTCATTGATGGAAACCCCCATATATATGCCATACATGCCATAGGTTGTCGAGTTGACCTTGTTGTATCTCAAGCAAAATACCACAATATAAGGCTGTGTGTGAAAATGGGATATCCACAACTATAGCCATTTATGATCATTTATGATGATTTACTAGGGAACATGGTGATTAACCCTGGGATTCTGTGGTGTTTTTTTTAGACAACCTATATAAGCTAGACATGCCTTTGTTATCATGTGTGGAAGTTGATTCACAGAATTGTAGATATAGGGATGGTTATTACCATATTTGGGGAATAGACATCTATCAACCAGAAAGTTTAGGGTACCCAGGGTGCAAAGCTATATATTTCTGTACGCATCCTTGATGGCTCAATAGCTGAATAACTCCCATTTTGGTGGCTTCAGTCCCAAGCTGCTGTTGATGAAAACCAGTCCGAGACTTATTTTGCTTTATATATAGTCATCAAGAAAATTAGACAAGTGAGTTCTCATGAATTATCACTATTTCGCCAGGATTTTACTTGTCTATCTTTTTCCAATGACAACATATTTACATCATTATTATCATAGTTTTCCAATTCCAGGAATTTACGTGTCTATCATATTATTACTATTTTTTGGAGGGGATCTTCTTAGAAAATGTGTCAACTTCCCGCCGGCTGCTCAAGTCTCCATTAAAAAAATCGCAGGCTGGGCCCTGATTTGGCTTGGCCAGAGGCAGATCTGGTGCTCTGGGGTGGTGATTTTTACCAGGGAAAATTTACTAGGTCAATCTTACATGGATACTTTAATCCTTTAGTCTTTTGGTATTAATGGGAATATCTACTAACCAGCAAAGAATTTAATTTTTTGCAGGGTATCTAAGATTGGCAATGTGAGGGAAAATTTACAGGAACCCCCTCTATATTCTGATTATCAATGTAAACCCCTCTATATTTACAGGAAACCCCGATATAGATTATATTGCTATATATTACTATTTCATGTTTATCATTATGATAAAATCATTATTATCATTATTATTGTTATAAAATTACTATATGATAAATTCTGATGTCACTGAAACGTTGGGGGGTTGAGCACCAAAGGGGGTGAGATTCACCCCCACAAGAATATGTGAAGAGATTGCACATTGGGAAATCACATGATGATATGGGTTTGTCTAAGAACCAAGGATATGATATTTCCATATTTCCAGCTTATGGAAATTTCAAATGTGAAAGCTATGGATTCCAAGAAGATGATCCTTTGGAATTGGAGGTAGCCTATCTTCAGGCAAACCTCTCTGTCTGTTGTACTACTGTAGTTCCTGTTGTTGTTTGGCTGTGGGTCTTGGTTTTGTTCCAGATTTTTTTTCATGTGCTTGTTATTTTTTCTGTGACTCTGGCAGTGGCCGTGCCATCGTAAGATAGCCGCAGTGATTAGAGAGAGTTCCAAATTTGTCGGAGAGAATTGTCACTGTCACTGGTCACAGTTGCATTCCTACTACAGGCCCTACAGCATTTCTTTGTGGATTCAAATACAGTAACTCTTGGTTTGTCCATCCCTCTTTGAGAATCTCATCCTCTCATATCCTCTCATCTATTTGTCAATGGATTGGCTTGAGGGAAAATTGGAACCGGAACCCCCTCTATATAATTGATGGTAAAAGAAAACATGGTTTCCTGCAGATTTGCCCTTAAACCAATCCATTGAATTTGGGATGAGAAGAATCACCACGAAACCATTCGCACTTCGTTCGCGTTTCCTCAGTCCATGCGTGGAGCCCACCGTCGTTTGAAGCGCCCGAACTCCAATGGAGGCGACGGGCGGATCCTCATCCGGGAACATGATTCGAAATCGGTGAATCCATGGTGAGTTTTTGATTTATCGGTTGATTTATAGTACCCCCAAATGGATGGTTGATTTCATGGAAAATCCCAATCTAAAATGGATGATTTGGGGGTACCCCCCCAATTTTTTATGGGACAATATTGGGATCCAATGGGATTTACCCATTAATAGCATGGTGATTTTCCATGGTTACGTTAGTTTACCAGAGGGTAACCATAACTACCATAACTGGTTGGTGGTTTGGAACATGAATTTTATTTTTCCATCTATTGGGAATAATGATCCCAACCGACGAACTCATATTTGTCAGAGGGGCGGCTCAACCACCAACCAGTTTATCATACATCCTGATGTCCAGATAAAACAGAAATTGCGTTTTTTTGGATGTTTTGGCTGACATGTAAGACAGCCAGTTGGGTGGTGAAAATGGTGTGAAACTCCTCCAGATTTTCAGGGATTCCGGGATGCTGCCTGTTGATGCTGAAAGCCGTTTTTAATAGAGGATGTGGAGCCTTTCCACTTTTGGGGCCCAACCCCACATTTGCAGACTTTTGCTGGTCGATTTTTGATGTTTATCTTTTATGGTCGCCCATTCTTTTCATGAGTTGGTCAGCACCGTTGTTTGGAGCCTGCTTGGCAGGCGAAGAATCCAGGCCACTGACCAGCGGTGTGGGATGTTCAGGGAAGCATTGGCATGACCATTTCACAGAGGGTCCCTATGTGGGACTGGGATAGGTGAAATGTTTGGGATGTGAACATTGGAGGTGTCAGGGTTTGGAGATGTTTGGAGCCATTCCCATAGTTCCCATTCGAGGTTTCTTTGGAAAACAAGCGTTTTGGTGGTTAAGGGACGTGGTTAAGGGACGTGGTTAAGGGACGGATTTGTTTGTTATACTAGTGGAATCGTTGATCGGTTTCATATCCCACTTAATGACTCAGTTATGCTTCTATATACATATGCATGTGTATATGGAAAAAAAAGTATCTATGGTTAAATAAATGCAAATAAGCAAAACACATCCAAAAAACATACAAATACTAGGAAACATGTGAAACATAGTTTTTCTGAGGGTCTCTAGATTTAATCAAAGGTGCAACTCCTTCCTCCCTTCCTTCCTCTTTTCCTTCCTTCTTCCACCCCTCTTTCTTGGCGAGAAGCTCATGGCGACTCCAGCTCAGTCTGGGCGCGCCCGGAACATCACTTGCCAGAAACAATGTCATATAGGATATCAGAAGAGATGCCAGAATACATGCCAAATAGAATGTCAGAAAGAATGCCAAATAGAATGATGTCAGAATATATGTCATAGAGAATGTCAGAATATATGTCAGATAGAATGTCAGAATGTATGTCAGATAGAATGTCAGTTGGCGGGGATTACTCGAAGAAAGTATGTTTTTTTTGGGGGGGGAGGGGGGTGTAGCATACATATTACATATATTTACATATACATATACATTTTCATACACATATACATACACAGATTCATACACATATAGATATACGCATACACATACAGATATACATACGTACATACATACATGCATGCATACATGCATGCATACATGCATACATCCATCCATACATCCATCCATACATCCATCCATACATCCATACATCCATCCATCCATCCATACATACATACATACATACATAAATACATACATAAATACATACATAAATACATACATCCATACATTCATACATCCATACATCCATACATCCATACATCCATGCATCCATGCATCCATGCATCCATGCATCCATGCATCCATGCATGCATGCATGCATACATTCATACATTCATAAATTCATACATTCATACATTCATACATTCATACATTCATTCATACATACATACATACATACATACATACATACATACATACATACATACATACATACACACATACACACATACACACTTACAAACTTACACACATACACACATACACACATATACTATACACATGCATGTATTGTTTTGTATACATACCTCAGTTTTCTACAGTTCTTCGATCATTTTCATCAAACATTTCTCGCCTTGAAACTCTCTCGTGCCAGGCTCCCTGGGGCAGTAGATCGCAACAGCTGCCTGGCTGGTGTCGGGTCTATAGGTGGTGATGGTGATAATATTCAGATATAATATTTGGACATGGCGCTTCTAACCAACGAAAAAAATGGTTTGGCGGATTTAAGCAATGAACAATGGGGATTTACTTTTTTTAAGCAACCATGGCGGGGATAGAACAAAAATCAGGTACTGGTTGACTCAGATCTGGATTTAACTTAAGTAACTAACCACCAAAATTGAAAATATCTAATGGGAAAAATTGAATAACCCAGATACAGTGGCATATTTAACAACCAATAAATGTGGATGTTTGGGGGTGTCCCGAAATGCGTTATACCCTTGATTTATGACAATCAAATAAGAGGGAAACATCGATGATATACAAATGGATGGAAAGGGGTTGTGACCTTCAGTGTTCAGACGACTTCCAAAAACAGCTCTATGATATGAGTACCTCCAGAAATATGTCCCATATAAGATAAATACATCTCAATAGATCCCATTCATATATTGTGTCTAGTTAACCTAATATCATATATCATATCATTCATATCTTGATGAATAGAATGAATAGAACATGATGATGTCATCATGATCATGTCTTTGCCATTCTGGGGTAAGTTTTTACGATTTGGTTTGGTGATAAAAAACAGTTCAAATTTGCTGATGTTTGTTCACGTGTGAGAAAGATCGATAACATGAGAAACAAAATAGGGATAGGGATATACATATACATGTAATTAGATGTATTATATCTATATATACCATATATAGGTTTGTTTGAGATTGGGGTACTTCAAATTTGACGGCTGATCATTAATTTCCCTATTACAATAGCCTATCTCCAAACCTGTATGTAGCAAGAAAATGCATTCAGGAGCATCACCTTTTTGTTGTTTGTACCTTTAGGGACCCATGATTCTTTACCGTTCATATGGATGTTTTTTTGGGGGTCACGGAAACCCTCAGGTTGCTGGGTCGCAAACATGAAATTCATGGTTTGTTTTTGGAGTTTTGATCATATTTGCTATGAAACCACACGTGTTTTGGGTAGTCAAATGGGTGTTTGCGGAGAATTGGGGAATACCAAAGCCATTGCTTTTGCCAGCGAACATGAGCATTCCATTTTACCAAAACCATTGTTTTTCCTGTTTTACCAACTAGGTCATCCTTCGATGTATAGTTTAATCCTCTAATCTTTTGCTATGAATAGAAAACGACCATGCCAAAACCCATGGCAAAAACTCTTGGTTTGGACCAAGGTGTGAGCTCTGCTTCGTCCTTACCAGGCTGGTGCATCATAATTCTTCAGTGTTTGTTTCTGGTTGGTGGTTTGGAACATGAATTTGATTTTCCCATTCAGTTGGGAATGTCATCATCCCAACTGACGAAGTCATATTTTTCAAGATGGGTAGGTCAACCACCAAGCAGTTTTTGTTGATGTGTCTGGATCATTCTGGATCCGATGCCCGATGCCCCTTCACCACAGGAGCCTGGGGTTGAAGATGGACTAGACCTTTGGGTCCATTAGTTTTGGGAATATCAACCATCAGGATTTATCTATTTCTTTGAGATTTAAATCATTGCTTTGTGGTGCAGGTGTTTATCAATGAACTAGATAAACCTTGGTTGAATCGTCGGACAATTGGATTGGGGAGCTGCGTCTTAAGATGGAGGAATTGATGTCAACTGGGGACTTTCCCAAGGCAGCCATGGCAACACAACACGTGCACTCCGGATCCTCGGGATCCGGATTGATAAACGTGTCAAACTGCCAACGCTCATATGGTAACCATGAGGTGTGATTCTTCCCCAGCAACGTTTATCTAGCCCCCTGACAAGATTATGCCATCATCTGTCAGTGATTGAGTTGTGCCCAACATTATTTGCAGCAAATATTCCACATATTATTCCTATAATATCCTATAATTATAGAATATGACATAATTACTGTACATTACATAACTATATACTGTGACTGTGTTGTGACGTTGACACGGTCCATCAGTCCGTTTAACCCCCTCAAAAGGGGCTCCTCGCCTCTCATCAATTTACCGACAAGCCATAAGTGGGCGTATGATGACTACCACTCACCAGGGTTACCAGGAGAATGGAGTCATAAACCCACCAATTGTAGAGGCTTGTCTCAGTGTTCCTTGCCTTTCTTCGGCTTTGCAGCAGGTTCCAGCACAGCTGATGTTCATGCGTAGAGGAGCCCAAAGCTAGGTCCTAGGTACGACTTGCTTGGCTCCAAACAGAAGCTTTATATTTCACGGAGGTTTCAGAAGTATGGTTCCAGAAGTATGTTGTAACAGCAAGTCGATGAGTGACCTTTCTTGATGATTTCTTGATGTAGTTTGCGGTAAGGGTCATCAGAAGTTTCAATACTTTATCACCAGACCCAGGACAAGTCAAGGAGAGTTAAGGCTATTGACCTTGAAGCTGCCAGCTTTTCATAGGAATCATAGGAATCCCAGTGACCCAAATGGGTATGTCCTCTCACATTGCATCTTAAGTATTCCCGGTTTAGTTCAAGGTTCATGGTTACCATGGAACTAATATGGGTATATGGATCAATACCTATTAATACCATTTTTAGGGGGATGAACATCCATTTACCAGCTATTTTGATGTTCACCAGGGGTACAAGGTTTTGACACACTGCCATATGAAACACCATCATATATCCATAGCAATCTCCGTCCCATCATCCCGCAACAGGGCCACACCGGGTCTCGCGCCATGGGCGCCTTCACCAAACTGGGCCACTGCGCCAGCGGCCTCTGCGGCAGCCGCACCGCAGAGCGAAGCCGCGAACGGCGCCGCAGCGCCGCGCTGGCGGCCGCGCAGCCTGCGCAGCCGGCGCCGGAAGTGGTGGAGCGTCATCAGCAGCAGGTGGAGCACTGCCTGACTTGGTACCCCAAAAACAGTGCATTTTTCTGGTTGAATTGCCATTTTAGGGGTAATCCCCATTTTGACACAAACCCATATGTTTCTGACTGTTTCTGAAAATTCAGGATTTCACCAACAAACTTTTGTGGATTTATCGCTAATTACGTAACAATGGGGACAAGAACGAATGCAACGTACCTGCATGGAGAACCAAAACCCTAAGAATTCCTCGGGTCAACCCGTACCTAACCCGTACTTAACCCGTACTAACCCGTACCTAACCCGTACTAACCCGTACCTAACCCGTACCTAACCCGTACTTTCAGACTAGGTAAAAATACCTCGGGTTTTGTCGGAAAAGCTCGTCGGGTATTTTTCAAACCCTTAGATTTCTGCGGGTTTTGGTTCTAAAGATATTAGATATATATATATATTATAACCAACAACATGATATTTGTCTCGGAATGATACTTGGGTCCCTCACTTCATAAGTGTTCATCAGAATCGTGCCCCATACTTAGCCAAGTTAGTATCTATGTAATATTAGTGGGTATATACGTACTGAAAACACTTAGTTAGATTGGTTCAAAACACCACACCGTTCAGGGTATCTCTTTATACATACAGTATATTGGTGGTTTGGAACATTTTTTTCATATATTGGGAATGTCATCATCCCAACTGACGAAGTCCATCATTTTTCAGAGGGGTATAGGTATACCACCAACCAGAAACTATAGGTTATTGGACTTATGTTATCCCATGATCATCCCATCATTCACCAATGTTAACCCATTGTTAAACGATCAAATCACCAATGTTTTATTTGAAAAACTACCACCATGGTCCAGGCCGAACCCGTACCACCAGCCACAAGCAGCACCTGGAGTTGGGTTGTGCCGGTGCGACCCGTTCGGATGGGGTAATCTTGGATAAAGAGTTAGTTTCATGGCTCAAGAAATCAGATAAAAAGGAGGATTTATGAAGGGCTCAAACAGTTTTTGGTGCTGGAATGAGAGTGCTATCCATGTGCATACCTAAAGTTCGAAACCATGACCCCTTGTTGCAACATTTTGCAATGGTACTGTAACTCTGCAAACGATTGTGCCCAATGATGGCCTTGACTGTCTATCCCAAATTATCCCAATGTGATGCAAACGATAAGCCTAGTTGATTCATGATATGTATATATATATACATATATATGGTTGGGGTTGTTGAGACTTGAAATCTCAACAAGTCACCAAGTTTTGGAAGTCCTGCTCTCAAGAGGCAACCGAAAATTTGGTCCACTGGGATGGCGCCACTTGGGGTGAAACAAGATTTCTTCAGTGAGTCAAATCCTCATGTATTATTGGTGACGACTCAAATATCAAGGCGTAAAAAACCACAAATATTTGTCAAATCACGTCAGAAGCAACAGAATTGAATGGTGGAATCCACAATCTTCCATTTTTTCGAGCTAGCTCAAAACATGTAGCTGGCTCAATTTCATCAGGGGTATGTTTTGACAGTCACCTTGGGTTTTTTCAGAGGTACCATATCTAGCACTAAAGTAATCAGTGGGGACTGAACCTGGCAATTTAACACATTGGGAAGTTTCTGCGAGCTCGCTCAACTGCAACGAGCTGGCTCAGCACCATCGAGCTCGCTCAAACACATCGCTCTAGCTCAGGGGCATCGAGCTAGCTCAATGGCATCGAGCTGGCTCAATTTTTTCAACGAAAAAAAAAAGGAAAAAAAACACCAAAAAAATTGAGCCAGCTACGTCACGTTGAGCTGGCGGACGAATGTGAGAGCATCAAAACGAATACTAACTATGTATTGGCCGGGTTCATGACGCATTGGCGAGCCGGCTCAAGGGCATGTAGCCGGCTCAATTTCTGCGAGTTTTTTTTTTTTTTCGCTAAAAAAATTGAGCCAGCTACGTGGCGCTGAGCCAGCTACGAGGCGCTGAGCCAGCTACGTGGCATTGAGCCAGCTACGTGGCACTGAGCCAGCTACGTGGCACTGAGCCAGCAAGGTAGCTTTGAGCTTTGAGCTAGCAAGGAGGCAGTGAGCCAGCAAGGTAGCTTTGAGCTTCATCATATATATATACCTATGCAATCCCAACCATATAATATACTAAATCTAGGGCAAAACATTTTTTTTGAGGGAGACACGTGCCTTTGAGCTGGAGTGGGAATGTGAAATCTATCGTTCGACAGAAACTATGTCAGTGGTCAAAATTGGGTACCCCAATAATTAAATGGTTCATACTAACACTGTGTAGACTATAGATTTCAATCTGTGGTCCCCCAAGTCTTTAATTTTGATCCATATGGCTGAGAATCCCTCCTCTTCCGCCGCAGATCTTCCTATACCTGCTGTTGGAGCTTTTGCAACGCGTCATGGCGGCAGTTGCTTACCTTAGCCATCTGGGATGGTCAACCCATCGACTATGGCAGTCATTGTCATACCATATTCTTACCACTCATTATTTTTTTCTGGTAAACAGCCACATAACGAACTGGAAAATGACCATGCTATTAATGGGTAAATCAACTATTTCGACTGGGCCATTTTCAATAGCTTTTTGTATGTTTACCAGAGGGCAATGTGGGAAACAAAAAAATGCCTATTTTTTTTGATGGTATGGTTTCGATTTTTTGTATCCCCAACAAATGAAGCGCTCTGGGCTGTCATCCTTATGCCCAGTTTTATGATATACATCATTACTGGACAAGACAATCCATGGTTTCGCAAGGAATGGTGTTCGGGGTCCCTACTGTTGGTCACGATTGGGATTCCTAACGCTGTGTAAAGAACGGCTCCGGATTCCTATGAAACATTGGGACTATAATGAGATAAACTAATCACTGTTAATTTAGTTCATTTTATGGGATAAACCATCTACTTCCTATATGAAAGACTGTAAATCCTGGAATATTATAATATATATTATCTATATGAAAGACTGTAAATCCTGGGATATTACCGAATTATCTATCTATCTATCTATCTATTTATCTATCTATCTATCTATTTATCTATCTATTTATCTATCTATCTATATATATATATATACTATCTATTATGATATATATAGTATCTATATGATTTATAATGAGATTATCTAATGGGATGTTTACCATCTACTCGTAACTGCTGATTTGGATTTCGCAACACTCAGGCCTTGGTCTTCCAATTCTGAACAGTGCCCGTTGGGGGCTGAGCCGAAGAGACCGTGCGTTCGGGCTAAACGCTGGGCTTTTTCGAATTCGCCCCAGCTATAGAGGTGTATCATGTTAGATATGGCAGTGTGTCAAAACCTTGTACCCCTGGTGAACATCAAAATAGCTGGTAAATGGATGTTCATCCCCCTAAAAATGGTATTAATAGGTATTGATCCATACCCATATGGTTATCTATGGGATATGTTTTTCCCCGAATTTTCGGCGTTTTTTCTGGAAATATCACTAAATATCAACCAGGGTTAACTTTGGACATGTTTAAGAGTGCTGGGTACCACTGCACCCATAACTAGCTGGCAGATTTTGTGCTAAACATACTAAGCCCTATTAAGCCCTCCATTTTTTGGGTGATAAGTTCGGCATCCATATGAGCCATGCAAAACATTGATGTCCAAGAAATTCAGGGTCCCGGTTTTCCTCCCTTCTTCAGCGGTTGGTTAGCCTTTTTTCATAGCGGAATCCCATGACGGTGCACCTGGGCCATCCGCATCCATACGCCATGGGTTTCCAGTGGGTAAAATCAGCAAATGCTGTCTTGTCCATATCTTTATTAAAATTACCTGGCGGGGTATATACATATATATATATATACAGAATATACATATATATATTTATTAATGTTGTCGACTGATTAGTGTGCGGCCCCCCCCCTCAAACAATTTTAGTCTACTCAATAACTGACCATTTTTTTGCGCCCCCCCCACCCTCAACAATTTTTTTGAATCAATTTACTTTCAATTGATTTCAGTTTACTCTTAATTGATTTCAATTTACTTTCAATTGATTTCAGTTTACTTTCAATTGATTTTCAATTGATTTCAATTTACTTTTAATTGAATTCAATTTACGTTCAATTGACTTTCAATTGATTTCAATTTACTTTCAAGGGTTTTGTTTTTTTTTGCGACCCCAAAAGTTGCTTGGCACAATAGAGTACCATCCAAACATTCATATTATTGAGTAACTGAGCCACTCATGAGGTACCCCCTTGAAAAATTGTTTGGATGCTGTTTTTAAATAAGGGTTTAATAAGGCATCTAATTATTTGGAAAACCTTGTAAAATCACCTCACATAAAACACACTGTATTATAGGATGCATTACAGCTGTGTGGCTCAGGATAAAAAGCGCTTGAGTCGCGGTGCTTAGCGGTTGTGTTTACCCACTTTAGGTTTATCAGTCCATTTGGGTTAATAGAATAAACCCCTTGCTGAAACCTGAAAATACAGGTTATCAGCCGTAGCCTCTAAAGCCATGGACAAAACGCATGACGCAACAGGTGGTGGTGCCCTTGTGCCTTCAACCGGAACAGTATCAGCAGCAACTGGTTCACAACAGAGCTTGCCGGCTGGGACAAATCCCACGCCCATGTCAGTGGACGAAGGTTTCTTCACACAGCCTGTGCAAGCCTATTTCCAGTTCGTGCAAAACAATCTTACCTACATCAACGAAGGTAACATTGATGCTTTCAGGCAAGAGGCAGAGGAAAGGCACACACATCTCATGGAACAAAAGGTCCAGCAACTGTACCAAGAGTTTGAGGGAGTTTGCCTTAGCGAAATCGCCCATCAACGTGCAGAAGCTGATCGTAGACATGAGCACCTAGTGTCAGAGTATTCAATGTCCCAAACGGCAACTGAGCATGAGGTAACAAAACTGAGACAGGAACTTAGCGATGCAAATGCAAAGCTAAAGAATGCTGCAAATGCAGTTGCACTGGAAGCTGAACAAAGAGCCAACCAAAAGGTAGCCCATGTGACAGCCCAGTACGAACAAAGGTTTTCTGAACTCAGAGGTAGCCTCGAGGCAGACTGTAAATGAATCGTGGACGAAACAGTGGAGTACGCAAAGAATGGCATGGAAGGTTTCAAGAAGGAGGAACAAGCTGTAATCCAGGAGATTAGAGAGGAATGCAGTAGGCAGGAAAACCAAGCTGCTGAACTCAACTTCCAATTGCAGGGACAAGTGGAGGATTTGATGGAGAAGCTCAACAAGTACAGCGCCCCGGAAATCAATGTCGACAGAGCCGTCGAAGTTGATGAGTCACAAGGCGGGAACAATGTCGATTTGTACATGACCCCAAAATCAGCGGTCGGTACCAAGGCTGGAGCAGAACCCATGCCAAACACTGGTATGAGTAGCTTAGCCATGGACGCTAAAGAAAGATTGAGCAACTTGTTCTCATCAACCCCTGCCGGATCAGCAGCCCCTCCAAAACTTCCACCATTGCCAGTTCAAAGACAAAATGATGATGATGCAAACCAAGATCATAGTGTGCCCAGTCCTACAGTTATAGCAAGCGACCCTGGCAAGAAAGCAGCTGAAGCAGGCTTAGGTCTTTCAGGTCAACAATTGCTAGATCTCATCACTAGACTGACTTCAAAGGATTCAGATGGTGAAAAGCCCCGAACAAAAGAGGCAGAGACTATCAAACTGAACGACATGCCTGCCCCAGAAGCATATCGTCACTGGCGTAATCATGTCAGGGATGAAGTAAAGTCGTGCTCCGACAAACCCGATGAGGCTTGGCTTTGGCTCAATGAAGTCTTTGACAACAAAACCCCTAGGGAAAAGTTGGAGGAAAAGCTGCAGGAACCTGGGAAGTTTATCACACTTGACACCAAATTGTCGGCAGCGTTAACTCGCTCGGCCAAAGGTGATTTAGCAACAAAGATCCATAACTTCAAAGACGAGAAGTCAAAGAAAGGGATCCAAGTCAGAGGTAGGAGAGTCCTTTTGATGTTTGAAGATTACTTCAGGACGTCTGAGGAAGCTGGCAGTCTCTACCGCGTCGAGGACCTACTTGGAGTCGTTCGCACTGGAGAATCTGTGGAGGACCTTAGAAGGTTTCTGAACCGATGGGACGCCACAATTGCCGGCATGGAAACCCCGCCAGATGATTTGGTTCTCAGAGACATTTTACTCAGACAAATCCGAAAATGTCAGTTGATGAAGTATGACATCGAAGCATTTGACAGAGTTCCTGAAAAGTCAGAACAAAAGTCTTATGCATTCTTGTTGAGAAACATTCGTGATCTTTTGGATAGAGAAAGACTCCGTTCAAACAGAAACAGAATCGTTGAAAAGAACAAACAGACCGAAAAGCCTCAGCCCGCTGCACCCGCTCAGGGGGGCAAAGATCGCGGCAAAGGAAAGGGCGATCGAGGTCGAACCCGTGGCCGCAGCCAGAGTGGAAAAGGGGATAAAGTATGCTACAAATTCAGGGACGGCAAATGCGAAAAGGGTAAAGATTGTCCCTACAAGCATGTCAAAGATTCCTCAAGATCTGGCACCCCCAAAAGGAAGGGTAAGGGCAAGGGTGGTAGCAGAAGTGGTTCCCCCAACAGAAAGTCGAAGGAAGAGATGGCCAAGATCCCATGCACTTACTTTCAACAGGGCAAATGTCGTCGTGGTGACAAGTGTTTTTACAAACATGAAGTTGCAGCTGCACCCACAAAGGATCCAAAACGCACCAATAGCCCTGCACCAAAGAAGAAGGCCAGTGCAAAAGCTGCGCCATGCATTACTCAAAGGTATGCATGCATAGCAAAGGGAAAAGGGTTGCCGAAAGCTACAAAGGCCATGAAAGAACAATGCCATAGAGCTATTGTGTTTTCATCAAAAGTGGAATACATCAAAGTCCCAGCAACAGGTGAACAGAGGAAGGTAGTGCACAAACCCCGAATCTATGAGAAGACGTTCCCTGATTCAGAGTCAGTGCCAAAGCCCGACAAACTCGTGGCTCACCGTGCTCAGGTTTCGGCCCGACAGTTGCAGGAACTTGTGAAGCTCTTCGGCAGTGAGACGCAGCCCAAATGCCGATTCCGATGCAATGACCCAGAAGGGGGAGTATCATGCAACCACTGTAGAGCAATGATCGGTCCCAAGAACAAAGTCAGTAACACTCATTTGCCCACTGTTGCTACACCGGCATCAAAAGATGGATGTGTTTGGTTGGTTGACACGGGCAGTGAACAAGATTTGATTAGTGAGGGTATGCTGAAGACTGCAAAGGCGACAAACCGCCGTGTCAGCGATACCCCAATCAGCCTTGCTACAGCGAACGGTTCGACACGAGCGGATGAGGTGGCCGACGTAAAAGTCGATGCCCTACATCAGCCATTCTCACCATACATCCTCGAAGAAACTCCTGCTGTTCTTTCGGTTGGTGTTAGGTGTATGGAACAGGGTTACAGTTTTGTGTGGCCAGCTGATGGTAGGCCTTACTTCATTCGTCCGGACATGGGAGTCATTGAGCTTAACGTAGATGGCCGTGTGCCAGTTATTGATAGCTCTTGTCGTGTTTTGAACAGTGGACAGTTCAAGAAAGATTGTGATCTGTTACGTCTTTTTGCTATGGTTGCTGCAAAAGCAGAAGGTGCCGACGAGGAAGGCGTGGATGAGGGAGTAGCTCATGATAGCGAAACCGAATACGTCAGGTCTAGAAAGGCATCTGACCTTGAGCAAGAGGCAGGCAGCAAGTCTCACCAGTTTTGCCATTACCCCAAGAATCCATTTTGCAAAATCTGTCAGAAGGCGCGCATGATGGCGCCACCCGCAAAGAAGAAAGGGGGACAGAAAAGGTTGGAAACCAAGAGTTTTGGGGATCACATTGTCGCTGACCATACTGTAATCAAATCCAATGTGGAAGAAGGCGTCAAAGGTGAAACAGTGGCATTGGTGATGAAGGACATTCACACTCAGTTCAGACACGTATATCCAAGTCAGACAAAATCGAGTGAATCATGTGTTAATGCTTTCAACCACTTCTTATCTCATAAGGATGAAGTTGGGGCGGTTTACACTGACAATTCACGAGAGCTTATTGCTACAATTTCAGAGTTGGGGTACAGACATCAAACATCAACAGAGTATGTGGACAGTTCAAAGTCGTTTGTGGAGAGGGAGATCAGGCACATGCTTGAAGGCACACGCACAAACCTCGTGCAGTCAGGTCTTCCATTGCAGTA